CCCCACACACATCTGGCCCTGCCTCTGATGTCATTGTGCTGTAGAACATGCCTCCTCAAGGACTCTGCAGAAGGTAGACATTTGAGCTTTGCTGAGGGAGCCTCAGCTCTAGAAATAAAAAGGTTTAAACATTTTAGTTTATGTAAAACAGTGGGGGATGACCTATATTGAACTAGGGACAGGGACAGGGGCACTACAGGTTTGTATTCCTAATGCTATAGTGCTCCTTTAATGCTGCTCTATAATAAATGTAAGACATTCAGTGGAATTTTATTTTATATAGACTACCTCTCATATATTCTTCTCAGAATTCCATTCAATATGCTGTGATCTGGCTTTGCTAATTGGAGAAACAATTATCATTTTATTGATTGCCAAAACCTCTTCTTTTATTACAAGACAGAACAGTTGTAAATTATCAAACAAGGACTATGTGAGATTGAACACAATTTGATTGTGATGTCAACTGATTTTTGGCAGGTCATTTCTATTAGGTTACCCAGAACTATTTTAAGTTGCAGTAGATAATAGCTAATGAATCAAACAGGACATGATCAAAAAATGTAATGGAAACATTTGTTTGTTTTTTTTTAGCAATGCCTTAACAACAGAAGTAGCAAATAAAACATCAGAATTGCTTAAACTTTACAAACGCTATAATTTTCTGTAAAACATAATCTGTAACTTTCTCTTCATAACCAATTTTATATCCAAGCTTCTTTGTTTCTTTAAAATATTCATATTTAGATAAATTTCAAAAATAAATTAGATACTTTTTGTGGGAGTTAACTTGCATGGCTAACTATATTCTCCAGGATTTGTCTGAATCCTCAAGAAATATAACAGGAACAAGGGGAGATATTGCAAAAGAATCGTGATATTTCATATGGTAATCAGTACATAACCAGACACTATCTGCTAATAGAATTGGGGAGAGCAAAAAAACAGGGTCCAAGAGAATACTGAGAACGGACAACAACTACTAATAGCTTGCCCTTCGGTGGGTCCCCGCTCAGATATCAGCTGGTTTTAGCTAATCTAATGCCATTACAAAGAAAACCAGGGACATTTGCATACCAGATTGATTCCACCCAAAAAGGCCTTCTGAAACTGAAATACAGACCGTCTCTCTGTGCGAGAGATACAGCAACCCCAGATGAATGTTTCAGCCTTTTTAGACTTCGCCAGTGAGGTATAGTGGATACCCCTATAGGTACTGTGAGTAAAGGGTCCATGTCTGGATTACCCTTTAAACTTGGGGAGAACAAAAACATAGGATACTTTAGGATCAAAAACATGGATAAGCCGCGGCAGGGCATGACCATCGAGGAACTCCTGCGACAAGCACACGGGACGGCTAAGACCAAGATGGCCAACTACCCGGAGGCCTACTTCGAACTCTCGGATGACTTCTCCCTAGGTGAGGAAGCACTCACCCCACCGGTCAGAGCACCAGCAGCACCAAACCCTCCGTCTCCAGATACGGCACGGGTAACGACTGCGATCCTCAAAGTACTCCTGACAGACCTCCAAAAGACCTTACAATCAGACATGGCCACCCTCCACACCGAAATTCAAGACCAGGCAGGTCTAACAAGATCACTGGAGGTAACCTCTGACCAACAGACAAAACGAATAGCCTCCTTGCAACAAGAGGACCAGGTGTTACAACGCCAATCAGAAGCGCAGGACCAACGGTTCGCAGGCCTGGAGTTGCACACCGCACCTGAAACTAAGAGGCGTCTCTGAGGACATCACAGAGGCTGAATTGCCGCACATTGTACAGTGGCTCCTGGTGGCGCTGCTGACACCTCGACAAGTCAAGGCAATATGCCTAGATGGCCTCTTTCGGGTCCGAATGCCGGCTAGAGCCCCAGCCACGGCCCCTAGAGACCTCATAATCCGTTTCCGGCAACGGACAAATAGAGCAGCGGTGCTAGCAGCTGTCATGAACCGCACACCGTATAAATTTGAATCTATGTCCCTTACCTTCTTTGCTGACCTGTACGGGGGCACCCTGGCATGGCAAAGAACACTGAACCCTGAGCTTCAGCAACAAAACATACAATACCGCTGGAGCCAAACTGGCGCACTCTCGGTCCTGAAGGGAGAAGCCAGACACATCGTCCACGACCTGCACGAAGCACAGACCCCGATACCAACCCTAGGACTGCCACAAGAATCTCTGAGGCTCCAGAGGAATCCGCATGGCTGGGACCGGGGGAGTGTGACCGCTTTAGTCCTACGACAACCCAGACAGGACTTATATGCCACAGCCACCGCCTAAAACCCTGACGCAGCCATGCTATAGCATACTGTACCCAAATATCATATCTGTTACCCATGGTGTTACCCACCGACTCAGTTTAATAGAATTGTTCTGTTTCAATAGCCAGTACCAAGCTTAACCCCGATAGCAAATTAACGAACCACTCAAACTGCCGAAAACACGGCCACTAGCAAGACTAAATACCCCCACCGCCTGACCTTAGCGAACCACGGTAGATAAGTCTAGCAAGGCCCTAACCAGACGTAAAGCCCTACCCCTCATGCACATCTCCCTCTAGTTAAACACAACATAACCAACGTTTTTTTACGATTTACTCTCCTCCCGACAGATGGGCACGACCAAGCTTACTGTTTAAACTAGTAGTCCCCAACAAACTAAACATTTTTAAAATCTCTACTTGTTACGTAACCACACAACCGGGAACTGATGTAGCACCTTTTACACTCTATATGCTCTCATTACTCTTATTAATTTTTTTTTAAATGTGCACAATTATGCATGCCACGCAATTGTCTTTAAATGTTTATAGAAACCCTGGCATTAGCTGTTTGGGCATTGCTGGAGGAAATGTAAAATGTATAAAACATGCACACAAAAAAAGAATTAAAAAACAAAACAAAAAAAAACTAACTAGTCCCCAAAGGCCAGTCCTGGTCCAAAAATAATTTTTGGGAACTGTGTGTCCTGTGTGGATTTTTAGGGATCCCACGAACAGAATCTTTGGACCTGCTGGCTGGCTGCATAATCCCTCTAGCCCTGAGGAGGGAGTACTGGAGACTACATGTTGTATTCCTAATGCTATAGTGTTTCTTCAAATTTAGAAATCAACACCTCTTCCATACTACATCCCAGTCAATCAATGTAATAAGTTCTGCACCTGGCATTCAATAAAAATAAATAGCGAACAAGGGGAACAGGCTACACAAGTAACTTAAGGATTCCGTTCGGTGTTTTATGTACTTTTGTGCTTCCGAAAGAGACCGACCGTTAGCCCTGATTTCCTGGAACTGTTTTTAGCATAGAACCATGTGCACGGTCGGTCAAATAATTGACTTCCATGAAAATCCTGAACCTCTGAACCGATCTAGGTGATTTTTGGATATGTTGGTCACCCAGATCAGGGCTATCAGGGATGTGACTGTGTTTTGGGGGTTTGTTAAATTGTATGTTTTTGTAACTGAGCGATAATTTAATTATATGTGTGTGTGTTCAGGTAATTATCTCTCAGGCACAGGGGAGGCTATGTGGAATGTTTGCTTGTAACTAGTTTCCTCTCAGGTCCAAAGGGGAATTCCCCTGTAATATGATTTACTTGTATGGGGAGGTGCATAAAAGGCTGTGTGTGGCTTCCAATAAATCAGATTGTTTTACCCCTTCATGAAGTCTAGGCTTATGTTTGGGGAATTGAGAGCTATACTCCACCAAAATCACTACTCTGGAACCAGGAGCTATAATCACTGCATCACTTGGGATTTTTGAGAAATACAGCGCATATACTCTGCCGGGGTATTCTATACAATGGTATTTGGAGAATTGCTATTGTATAGAACTGAAAATTGTGTCTATTTATCAATAGATATCTAAGGGGCAAGCCACCAAACACTGGAATCCGTGCAAGCAAACGTGAATTATGTACAAGCATTTGATGCAGCAATTGACTGTGTAAATATATTTTTAAGAAAGAGCCATAACCATGGTTGTAGGAAGCAGAGGGATGGGAGAGTGGGATGAATGCTCCCTAGAAAATCTTGTGGGGTAAGATCATATGAACCATGATGGTGTCGTTTTTACAATCATATGTTTTACTGTTTAACAACATGAAAAATTAATTTTGATTATCTTTACATATCTTTTAAAATAATATTTGAACAAGATGCAAAAAATTGCAATGGAAAAAGGTTTATTGAATAATAATATTTTTTTGTGGAAAATTATATATTTATTTAAATTAAAAGGGGATGTGCGGTAGCTTAAATAGGTACATTCCATTTTACTAAAAGCCTCAGTAGTGATTGTATATCATTTTGCCCATAGAGAGCAATTTAAAAAACAATTAAAAAATTTTAGTTACAATCCCCTTGCTAGATCTTTTTTTGTTTTTATGTTGATGGCTGTTTGACTTTGCCTTTGACAATATACTTTTGTACTGGTTATGGTGCCAGGAGAGCCCTTGTGCCACACTATAGTAAGTAGTTAAACCATTTAAAAACTGTTTGACAACTTACGTGGGTCCCGCTGGGTGCCTGGTGCCATCTCCCCCGGTTCTGGAATTTCTGTTCTTGCAAGTAGCCCTGAGTCATCGGAGTCCTTTAAACCTGCATGACCCAGCATAGCTCTGTGGCAGGAGCTTCCACCAGTAGGTGAGGTGGCAGTGTTATTGGAAGGTTTGTTATACTTTTCTATCAATGCACCTTGGTGTGAAACTAAGGATGGGGTTGTTAGAATCAAAACATATACATAATGGAGTAACAAAGTTTTTGTAATCCTATGCATCAGAAGACATCTGCTTGCAATCAGATCATAGATGTCACAAGTAAAAGTTTGTTCAAGTGCTAAAACAAAGAAGATGTACAAAATATTTTTTAAAGGTCTGCTTTTAAAAGATCACCAGTAAAATACAGTCATAGGCTGTACAACAGGTTAAAAGATAAGACAAAAAAGTATACCTAACACAGATTAATTAAAAAAAAAAAAAAGTACTTTTATTATTCAGATTTTAACATGAATTTCTCTAATAAATAAAAGACATGGTAAATATTGTGTGAGCAATGCAATTATTCTTGAAGCAAAATGTACGTTTTGAAATCACCCCAATAAGATCAGGTGTATTTATTGTTTTTATTATTAACTATCAAGGAATGGTTCATCATACACTGCAATATTTACACTTTACACACACAAAAAAAAGAGGAAAAAAAAAAAAAAAAAACTGGTGTCATTAGCTCGCAATGGTTACAATGCAATTTCTGCAATGTCTAACTCTAGCCACTCATGAAGGACTATCTGCGGACTCATCATAGCTCTTATCTTACCACTAATGAGGAGGTATCAGAAGTAAAATAAAGAAGCACAAATATCCAAACAATTTCAGAGAGAACATTATACTACAGACTTTGAGCAAGTCTTACCGGTTTGTTATGGCTTTGCACAGAAAACCAAACCGGTTTTGTTTTGAGTAATAAAACCCCCCCAAAAAAACCTATAGCCAGTTGTCTTTAAAAAGAGCCGAATTGTAGGAATTCTAAAACAAAAATGAAAAGAAACAGATGAGCGTCAGATGTGGACAGGCTCAACAAAACTTCATGGCCTCCAAAAGCCTCAGTCAAGTCCTCTGGGACACTCCTGGTCGGGGGCAGACCAAAAACAAACCACAGAGGGACTTTGCATGCAACAGTGTTGTAGGAAGACAAAGCAATATCGTGTATGTTTAATGTGTATCAATTACAAACAATAACAAATGAAAGCAATCTCTCTAATGAGGAACACTTCATCACCCTTCCATGCAGAGAACAGATTCCAGAGGTTTAGAGAATAGAAAGCAAACAGTACAACTTCCTCCTGTGAAAGATGCAGTAAGCCATTCTGAAAGAACTCTGTGGCTGTTCAGCAGAGTTAATTCCCATTAAAAGGATTATAAAGAACACACTCAGTTTTATGTAAAACAGTACAATACAAAAACAAGGCAATATAAACATTAAACCGGTGAAATTGCGTTTTTGCTATAGCTGCATGTTTATTTCCTACATTCCCTGGTTGATTAATAAAAAATGGTTTGGGAGACGGTGAGCTAAACATATATATTAGAGTTAAGGAGAGTTGATAGATGCCATAATGTCCAACTAATATGTTTGGCTGTGGAGAAGAGGTCTACTTTCATGTTAGACCAAACTTTCATTAACAGGAAAGTCAACAGCCAAGTAGAGCCTGTCATTTAAAGAGGAAAGAGAATACATAAAATGTGCACTACAAAAGATTTTAAAAAGTACAACATGCATCAGAGAGGGTTCTCAGCAAATCACAGAGCGCATATATGTTTAAAGGACCACTATAGGCACCCAGACCACTTCGGCTCAATGAAGTGGTCTGGGTGCCAGGTCCCCCTAGTTTTAACCCTGCAGTTGAAAACATACTACACTGCAGGGTTAATCCAGCCTCTAGTGGCTGTCTCCCACGCTATAGTGTTCCTTTAATAGTTTTTATTCTCTGCTAGTAACTTTGGATTTTATACTATTCTAAAACTGCTCAGGCTTAGCAGAACTGTTTCAGTTTCATGACCAAAAAAAAATATTTTATCTAAGTCTGAATATATGTCCCTTGTGGATAGGTAAACTATGTCTACCATGTAAGAATGATATTATGGGCATTATAGGTACCAAAACACCTTTGGCTTAATGAAGTAGTTTTGGTGTATAGATCATGCTCCTGCAGTCTCACAGCTGAATTTTCTGCTATTTTGGAGTCAAAGCACTTTGCTTATGCAACCCTACTCACACTGCATTTAACTTACATGGCCTTCATAAATAATTTCTGTAAAGCAAGATCTAATGTTTAATTTACAATTTCTTAGCTCCTGCACTTAGCCTTCTAGACTCTGCAGGAGCCGCATGTCTGTAATTTAAGTCCAATTTACAGAGCAGGAGATATATACTTCTAATACAAGTTAACATTTAAATGAAACCATTCTTTTTTTCATGCAGACTGTGTCAATCATAGCCAGGGGAGGTGTGGCTAAGGCTGCATAAACAGAAACAAAAGTACTTTAATCCTGAATGGCAGATAATTGAGCATTGGAACTGCATGGGGCATGATCTATATACAAAAACTGCTTTATCAAGCTAAAGTAGTTTTTTCGTGCATATAGTGTCCCTTTAGATTTAATGTATATTTTGTGCGCTTGAGATTATCTAATTTGGAAACCCTGTAGTATATTATTCAGGTTTTTTTTCACTGTCAACTGTTTTTTGATTAAGGCCTATCCACTGCTTTGGGAATTTTTAAAGAGGAGGAACTAAGCTGAAAGTGAGCATATCCTTTAATCTACATATTTCTGCCAGCACAAGAGAAAATTTCATTTGTATACTGACCCGATGATAGTTGAACCACCCATACCTACTGTCTATGAAAGTTCTATTTTTAAGAAGAGGTGGTCAACGGCACAAAACCAAACCTTATATGAGGGGGAAGCAAGATAAGAGTTTCATGGAGAGTTCCAAAGTGGGCAAGAGCTACACAAATAAAAAAATAAAACAAAAAAAAACTGGTGAGAGAAAGATTAAAAAAAACAAAAAAGATCACAAAAAAATAATAAAAAAAAAAAAACTTTTTACAGTACATTGTGTAAGTTGTTAGGTTCTTACTTTCTTATGTGTCCATCACTATCACATTATAATAAAATCGAATGGTAATGTGTTTCGCAAGCATTATATGAGGTATCATAAGAGGCAACGTTCTTATTGGTTCAGTGCAGCATTGTCCTGATTGTAAGCCCTATTTTAATAGTAAGCATTCATGCCATAAAGAATCTAGGAATCCAAAACGGAGAATGCTGGGTCTCCATGGTCATTTCTCATTGCATTTCAAAATTAAAAAAAAATTAAAAATAAGTTTAAATGAATAAAAACAGTTTAAATCAGTTTTTAGATTCTCCCACATCAAGATGTTCTCCATAAGCTAGATGTCTTCCCTGTTTTCAGTGCCAATGTAATTTCCAGTGTTGGCTTCTTGATTTTTGACTCTCCCTTCCCTAGCCATTCTTTTAGTTAACCCACTGAAATACTTTTCACGGAAGGAGTTGTGTCCTTTATATGGCGTACAATGTTTGTCTTTCTCATGAGCATGTTGGTCATGTTCCTGTATGGGGCAAGAGAAAAAAAATATATAATTAGATACCATATTTTCAGCATCTATATAAAGTATTCCTCTCTCATATGTTCGTAAAGGTTTCCTTAGGCTTTCTTGTAAAAGATTCTGTCAATCTCTAGGTAAGTTACCACTAACCCCTATTTTTAAGGTACACTGAATTATTTAGTGATTTTGCTTCACATTCCCATTTTAATTCTAAGGTGCATAACTCTTAGTAGGGTCATTTGGCACAACCAAAGACTTCTCCTCTCAGCCTATCACTGAACACTGCAAGGAAGTACTTTGTGAAATATGTTCACATAGACTAATAGCAATGTTCTGTCGCAACATTGATATACTCTTCCTCCCCTCTGCCCCTCCCCTCCTGTGCTCACTAACAACCGAGAATGAACAGAGCAATCATATAAACTTAGATGGAGTAGATGCCTCTGGTATACATTCTCTTATTATTTCACATCTACCCACCTTTAGAGATATACAGTCATTATCTGTTGGAGTACAATTTGAGAGAGTGGTCTAGCTTAACAATAGCTTAAGGACCATCTTTCCTACTATTTTGACAAAGAGGTCTATGAGTCCAGAATTTGGGGTGTGTATAAAACAGATACGCTACAATAACTCTCACAGTGCCTGTAACCTATACTACATGTCTAATGTTTTCTGCATTATTTCCCAGATACATAAATGGCTATTATTAGGAATGTTTAGGAATAAAATGCCACTACACATTTTAGAAGGTATATAATTAACATATGGAGAGCAAAAAAGGGGGCACAAGAGAATACAGAGAACAGGCAGCAGCTGAAATAGACTGCCCTTCGGTGGGTCCCTGCTCAGTTCTCAAGTTGGTTTTAGCTCATCTTGTGCCATTACAGAGAGAACATCTCTGAAACATATCAGACTGGTCCCACCCATACGGGCAGTCCAGACCCGAAATGCCAGCAAGTTCCCTCTGCACGAGAGACACAGCAACCCCAGACGATCGTTTCAGTCTTGTTAGGCATCATCAGTGAGGCATAACTGATATCTCTCTAGGCACCGTGAGCAAGGGGTCCACGTCTGGATTACCCTTTAAACTTATGGAGAGCAGAAAACGGGGCAGAAGAGAATACTGAGAACAGGCAGCTGCTGAAATAATTAACATACATGACAGGATACGACAGAATAACCTGTTCAGATTTCACATAATTGGGATAAACATTTGTGGACTGTGCGATTGCAATTCATTATTTTAAGATAATATACCTGTGTAGCTTACAATTTAGGTGGAAAGAAATTGTTGAAAATAATTAGTCATATTATTGGTTTCACGAGATAAAAACCTGTAACGCAATTGTTTCTTCTGCCGTCAAGAAATAGAAGAGTGTGCAGGAGGGCCCTTGCTAGGAGCCAACTCCAAAGTGTATCTTAAGATTTGGATCTTGACACAAGGCAGCAATGAAATGTTATTTGCCTAAATGAACAGATATCCAAACATACAGCTTGAAATAAATGTTGAAATCTACTCTTGTTAAGTGGTAGAGTCAATTATGAGAAGGGTCACACAACCAAACTCCTTCACAGCTAGAAGAGGTTGTAACAGAAAGAGGGTTAATGGCTAGTGATGCACATATCCAACTCCAATACACAGTAGTTCATTATTATGGTTTGTATTTAACAGCAGCAGCAAAGTTGTTCTAACAATGCTTTGTCTTGTAGAAAATGATCTCGACATTAGACCACATACCATACCTCCCACTGAGCCATGCAATAATGACCTCCTGAGAGATTTGTACACGGGTTGTAACACACTGTCTGTAAAAAAGCTAAGTCATCGTTTATACAAACTTTCATATCCATGCCAGTAGTAACATGGAAAAATCCATTGTGGTGAATTAATCTAATATGTCTCTTTAATCAATGAATCATACCAATTTTCTGTTCAGATCCGAGTCAGGTATAATATGTTTGTGATATGGGCATATTAAATCTAACAAATGGAAGTAGCTAACTTCTGCTATTATATTCTACTGAATTTCAATTAAAGGAACGATAACATTAGTAATACAAATGTATTCTGAACGTTAATGTTTCTCTATATGTCTATTTTCCTTTACTTTTCAAGTGCTGAATTAAAACAAAACATGCAATTTGTGCAGTTTGATTGTTCCACCATAAAGGACCCCTACACACCCACTTGCTGAACTGCTTTATGGGTAAGCAGTATACCATTTCAAACTTCATAAAAGAGCGGATATCTGTATAAAAATTAAATACGCCCCTGGCTGTCAATCACGCAGGCACCTGCCTCGCACCGCATACCTACAAATGTTATCTATTTATAAAGTAATTCAAATATGCAAAAGGTTCATTCTGTACTCAGGAAATATAGCGGAGAACAAACAATTTTGTGATTTTTATCACAGTAGCAAATATCAAGTTTACAAAAGAAACTGCTAAATTTAAATGTGTATTTAAACAAAAATATGAAAATTCAATAATACCAAAAACTTTAAACTTTTCTTTGGTGGGGGGGGGGGAGGGGTGCATTACAGTGGCACATAAGATTTGCAAAAGTTTAGCAAAAATGTAATGTGCATGTTACAAAATGCAAAACAAATTACCATGGAGTGTCTACTTTCACAAATTGCAGGCTTTTGTGGGGTAATTTCAACAGTCAAACTGCCTGGTCTCTTAAATGGCACGTCACAGGATAGTAACAAGGGATACATGGGGTCTGTTGTACTCAGAAAAAGTTGATCAACACAATAAGGGGCTTTGTACAGTAGTAGCACATATCATATAATGTGTATTTACAAAATTCACATTAAAAAAAACCTTGCTATTAGAGGGACTTCCGGATGGTTAGGCGACCAAAAGTCGCCTAAATGACGCTGGACATCTTCACGCTGTGCATGAGGACATCCAGCGTCAATCAAATACTCATAGGAAAACATTTAAACAATGCTTTCCTATAGGGAATCCTAATGCGAGCGCTGGGTTTGCCGCGCATACACATTAGGCTTCCCCCTGCCTGCTGAAGTCAGGTAAGTGACTGAAGGGGTTTTAACCCCTTCAGCACTGCAGGTGCGGCGTGAGGGAGGGGGGCACTGTAGGCACCTATAGTGCCAGTAAAATGAATTTGTTTTCCTGGCGCTATAGTATCCCTTTAATGTAGTGGCTTTGGTGCATCTATCCAATCCCAGAAGGCTGAAAAATGTAAGCATTGACATTTCTAAGAAACAGCTGTGTTTACATTTGTCTGTCGGTATGCTTCAAGTGGCATCACTCAGTAATTATAGCCACTTGAAAGTCCTCACATTCAGTGCTACCACTCCCCGCTTAAAGAAACTCTCCAGTGCCAGGAAAACAAACCGTTTTCCTGGCACTGCAGGTCCCCTCTCCCTCCCACCCCCCATCTGAAGGGGTTAAGACATATCCCTTGGCGCTTGGTCAGGGTCCGCCCACGCTCCTCCCCCGCCTATTGAGCATGCACGGCCACCGGCGGGGAGACCTAATGCGCATGCGCAGCAATGCTGCGCACGCGCATTAGACCTCCCCATAGGAAAGCATTGAAAAATGCTTTCAAGGCTTTCCTATGGGGATTTCAGCGACGCTGGAGGTCCTGACATAGCGTGAGGACGTCCAGTGACGCTATAGCACACATTTGCTATAAACACGGAAGTGCCCTCTAGTGGCTGTCTACTAGACAGCCACTAGAGGAGGAGTTAAACCTGCAAGGTAAATATTGCAGTTTATGAAAACTGCAATAATTACACTTGCAGGGTTAAGGGTAGTGGGAGTTGGCACCCAGACCACTCCAATGGGCAGAAGTGGTCTGGGTGCCTGGAGTGTCCCTCTAATGATGTTGAAAGCGTTTAATGCATTTAATTGATAAACATTGGGATAATGCTCCTCTATGAGAAGCTTTAAATTGGCGCAGCATGTCAGACTGGTCCCACCCATACGGGCAGTCCAGACCCGAAATGCCAGCAAGTTCCCTCTGCACGAGAGACACAGCAACCCCAGACGATCGTTTCAGCCTTGTTAGGCATCATCAGTAAGGCATAGCTGATATCTCTCTAGGCACTGTGAGCAAAAAAACACCAAGCCCTCAGTGAATACTTTTCTAGCAACCTACTTTTTTACTCTTTCAATTACCTCTTGGGTTTACTTTACACTTTAATGGTAACATATTTATTCATAACATTACAGTTTTTCTTTAAAGCTACCACGTTAAATAATTATATTTGTAGAAAATTAGTGTGCTTGCTGTCCAATTCTTTACACACTGCACAGATCATCTTAAGTGAGAAGAAGACATATCATAGCCCCAAGTGCCTTAAAGTTAAGCATGCAATGTAAACTTGTGTGTTGATGTGCAAAAAAAAAAAAAAAAAAAACCTGAAAAACATCTGGTAGGTGAATTAGAAGCACCTGCCTGCTCGCCTGCCAAACAGCACTAAGTCGTTTGTCTCTAAGCTAAGATCAGGTGCTGTAATCCAAACACTTAAACCACAAAGAGCTGTTCATCTAAACAACAAGCAAAGCAATAACAAAACAATAATAGCAGGCAGACGACAAAATATTAGAGGGGAATAAGTATGTTTGTAACTAGTGAAAACAGATGCGGGGTACAAAAGGGGTTAATGAAGAATAAACTACTGCACACTATGATCCTGTAAGGACGATTGATCTAAAACCTGCCCACGGCTTACAAACAAAAACCAGAAAGAAAATAAACATGTGCCAAGGCTTTAAAGAGGAGAAAAACACAGCAAAATATTGTTTGTGCCAAAGTCAACACTGTTGATCTGAGTAGTAACAAGCACAATTTGTTATGTTAATGTAAGCGCTGTTTATCATTTCTGCTTGTTTCATCTTGATGCTGTCGGAGATGGTTGCTTGTTGCGTACGTCTTAGACGTCCATAAGACCCCTCTGCAATGGATGTCTCTTGCAGTTACAGTTTGATAAATAGCAATGAAACCACAGATGTCCAAATCTGCTTTGAACACACAGAAAAAAGCTTTCCTAGGGTGTTTCTTGATTTTTTTTTAACCATTATAACATAGGGGCAGAACCTCAAAGTTGAACTCAAAAGGTATAATACGTAATGAAATCCTATCAAGTACATTAGGGTGTATTAAATCTTCAGCAAGAGTCAGCACTGTAATGAAAAAAATGCAGAGGCCAAGTAGAAACTTTGTTTGGAAGCTTCAATTTGTGTGTGTTGTTTGTACAGATGGACACACAGGGTTATGCAGAAGATTAAATAACCAGATAAGGCATCTGGCCCTAGACTGAAGTGCTGGATAATATAAAAATCACACTCTTATATTAATACATTCACAGTGGAAGCAAAGTATTTTAGTGTGCAATGACCATCTATGTATCATATATGCTACTGAAACAGGGTGATGTGGTCTTATTAAAGTTACTAACAACCTAATCACAGCTAAATCCAAAGGGCCCTACTCCCTACTAATTCTTCTTGACGTCTCTGCTGCCTTTGACACTGTTGACCATCTTCTCCTTCTCCAAACTCTTCAATCACTCGGTTTCTGTGACATTGTCCTCTCTTGGTTTTCCTCCTATTTCTCCCAACACTCATTCAGTGTCTTCTTTTCTAATCATACCTCCTCGCTTCGTCCTGTCTCTGTTGGAGTCCCCCAAGGCTCTGTACTTGATGCCCTTCTATTTTCTCTTTATACTGCTTCTCTTGGCAAACGTATTACCTCATTTGGATTCCGATACCACATGTACACTGATGACACCTAGATATACCTCTCCTCCCTGGACCTCTCTCCTGCCATTATGCAGCGTGTCACTGCTTGCCTTTCTTCCATCTCTGATTGGATGTCCTCCCAGTCAATCTCTCTAAAACTGAACTTTTTGTCTTTCCTTCTACTAATAATGATCGTCCTCTCTAGCTCTCTCTTCAAGTTGGTGGTACCCACATCAGCCAATCCTTGCAAGCGCATGGTCTTGGTGTTATATTTGATTATGGCCTCACCTTTGAGGCTCACATCTAGTCTGTTACCAAATCCTGTAGATTCCATCTTAAAAACATAGCCGCAGCCGTCCCTTTCTTACACAAGATGCTACTAAGGAGCTTGTCCAAGCTCTAGTAATCTCTCGCATGGATTATTGTAACTCTCTCCTAATTGGTCTTCCAAGAAGTCATATTGCCCCGCTACAGTCTGTAATGAATGCTTCAGTTAGACTGATTTTCCTCTCCTGCCGTTCCTCTCACACCTCTCCCCTCTGTCAGTCCTTACATTGGCTTCCTGTATCCTATATGAGTCAATTCAAGATACTAATCCACACCTATAAAGCAATGAACAATTCTAGCCCCTCCTACATCTCTTAACTGATCCGTTGGTATACCCCTTCTTGGTCTCTGCCCATGACCTTCTCCTGTCCATTGCTCGCACCCATACAGCCAACTCACGCTTGCAGGACTTCTTGCGGGTGGCTCCTTTCCTTTGGAATAACCTGCCTAACACCATCAGACTCTCTCCTAGTGCCTCAAAACCCATCTCTTTAGGAAAGCTTACGGCCTCCCAGAGTAACCTCTACCTCACATACCTGTACCTTGCTCTCTCCTAAAGGGCATCACTCCAACCTTGTTTGATTGCTATCTCCTGTCCTGCGGTGTTTTATACCTCAAGTCCTTTAGATTGTAAGCTTGTTTGGGCAGGGTCTTCTTCAATCTATTTTTCCTGTAAGTTTTTTGTAATTGTCTTATTTATTGTTGAATCTCTCCCTCTGATAATATTGTAAAGCGCTACGGAATATGCTGGCACTATATAAATGCCAGTAATAATAACAATGTATTTTCTTCAAGAATTTGAATGTATGTTATAGGAGTAGATTTTTTTTTTCTTTCTAAACGTTTAACGTATAGAACAGCTTGTGTCAAAATAGTCTACGACGAGTGATTCAACAATAAATTATACAATTACAAAAAATTTACAGGAAAAATAGGTAGAAAATGACCCTGCTCAAACAAGCTTACAATCTATAGGAGGTGGGGTATAAAACACCGCAGGACAAGAGATAGCAATCAAACAATGATAAATAGGTCATGATACCTCCCATGCATCCCAGGAATGCCGCAGCCACTGGACCCATCCTAACTCATTCTGTTTCAGGGGAGGTTGATGTAAGTGTGGCTTTCCTGTAGACATTACAGTTTTATTGCTGCATAGCTATGTGTTATACTCAGACACAATTCAGAAGCAGATGGGCTTGGGTCTAAAACAGGGATTTATGCTAAAAGAAGGCCATTTAGGAGGTATGCAGACATATTTCTACAAGGAAAAAGAAACACCAAAAGCACAACTGCTGACATTTACTTATTTTGACAGGTGCAAAGGCAAAAGTGTCCCTTAACTGGCCCCTGCCCTCAAAAACACTCTTACCTCAAACTCCTTCACCTTTTCCATTGTTATCAGTCGACGAGACGTGTGGCTGGACAGCATCTGTTCACAGTTGCTAATAAGTTTCAGGCATGGGTGCCGGGGTATAACCTCTTCTGTATATCTGGAAGTAATAATAAAAAATAAATAAATTTTAAAAAAAGTGCTTGCTGGGAAAATTGTAAAGATCATAATGTACAGAAATGTCACAGCTACCTCATACTAGCACAGGCTATTTAAGTGTTGTACTACAACTCCCACTTCCTTCATCCAGCCTGAGGCAATCTAAGAACTAAAGCAGCTGTGTTTTAAAAAAAACAAAAAAAAAAAACATTTTGGGGGCATATGTACACAGCCTTCTTCAAGCAGATCACTGTGGATAAATTAAAGGAACAATATAGGGTCAGGAACACAACATGTATTCCTGACCCTATAGTGTTAAAAACACCATCAAGCTCCCCCTGGTCCCACCTATACATAGTAAAATCTTACCTTTATTTTGGTCTGCTGCTGCTGGCTCTGCCCCTGATCTGCCTCCTTGGCTGACATCAGAAGTAAATCTCTGAGCCAATCGTAAAGCTTTCCTATAGAAATGTCTGAGACTGTCAAGGAGGCAGATCAGGGGCAGAGCCAGCACAAGCCAAACATAGCTTTGGACAATCAGCATCTCTGATGAGGAAAGTGTGTCAATGCAGACGATGGAGACACTGAATGGCACACTGTGCAGCACTGCCCCAGGAAGCACCGTTACTAGCCATCTGAGGAGTGGCCACTGGAGGTATCCCTATGCTGTAATGTAAACATTTCCTTTTCTCTGAAAAGACAGTGTTTACTGCAAAAAGCCTGAAGGGAATGATTATACTCAACAAATACAATAAGCTGCAGTTGTTCTGGTGACTATAGTGTTTAAATGATCATGAAAATATTTCTATTTCAGTATATAGAAAAGAAAAGGAAAAAAATGGAAGAAATTGTTTAAAGCTACATGACCATTTTACAACATTCCTGATTAGCTGACCTGAGTATAACTAAACACAAAATGCTTAAGTTATAGGTGTGGGATCATCACTTACAGCTGAATGCCTAAGCATCTATGCATGACAAGAGAATGCCACCATCAGCTTCTGACTGGCTGGGAAGCTCTAATAACCAAGTCACAATGCCAGGGTTATGATGATGTCATGTACAATCTCAGGTGCTCTTTACCAGGATGCATACAGTGCATGTGACATGTGAGCACTACATATTTTATCTCCAGAGTGTATGACTAGCTCTCGGTTTACTTCCTTTCCCAACGAGACTAATGCTAACATAGAAAGCTGGATTCTCACTAATTACGGAGTTATCAGAATGTGCAATGACAAATTCATAAAACAGATGTCATATTTGCAGTCATAATCACTAAGCCAATGACACAGGGAATAGTCAATGTATTATTACATACAGATCTGAATAGACCAGTCAAGCCATAACACTTGCTTTTCCGACAGAAATGTCACATGTTACTACTGCATGGGATTCTGGGTATGCATATGCAAATTAGGTCAGCAAAGAATCATCCTTTCTCCTCATTATTGCATTTAAAACATGGATACATAGTTACATAGCTGAAAAGAGACTAGCATCCATCAAGTTCAGCTTTCCTCACATATGTTTTTGCTGTTGATCCAAAAGAAGGCAAAAAACCCAGTCTGAAGCGCTTCAAATTTTGCAACAAACTGGGAAAAAATTCCTTCTTGACCCCAAAATAGCAGTCAGGTATCTCCTTGGATCAAGCAGCTATTACCCCACTAATTAGAAATTATATCCCTGTATGTTATGTTTTTGCAAGTATTTATCCAATTGCTGTTTAAACATTGGAGTTTGCATAGGTACACAGTCTGAGAAGGTAAAACTGGGGGTGTTTTCTATATGTGTAATAAATCTAAAAATGTATATATAAAATGTTCTGTATATATGAAGATACAGGCATTTCTGGGGTTTGAGATATATGGACATATAAATACCTTTATCAATAAAAGGAAAATAGGAGCTTAGCCAGCATCCGAGATGGAGATATGTCAAGTGTTTACTCTGTGTACTTCAAAAATTAAAGGGTCACTATAGGCACCCAGACCACTTAAGCTCACTGAAGTGGTCTGGGTGCAGTGTCCCTTTTGCACTTAGCGTTGTCTACATTGCAGCACTAAGTCTGCCTCGAGTCGATGTCTACCAGACAGCCACTGGAGGTGCTTCCTGCATCCAAATAGACCTTTGGTCCGGTATCTGACGCTAGACATCCTCATGCCCTTGATTCAATGATTTCCTATGGGGTTGTCTAATATGTGCGCAGCATTTGCCGCGCGTGAGCACTATTGCCGGCTCGGTGTGGGATGAAGAAGGGAGCAGAGCGTCTACCTAGCACCGTGGGAAATTGGCACTGGGAACAGGGAAGTAACAGGTAAGTAAATACAGGGGTTTTTTTTAACACAGAAGTAGGGCACGAGGGAGGGGAGAACGATAGTGCCAGGAATACAGCTTTGTACTCCTGGCACTAAAGTATTCCATTAAAAGGACATTCCAGACCCTTAAAGCACTCTAGTTTGCTAAAAAGTTTTATGTGTGAAGAGTGAGGGGGTGACTAGTGGCAGAGTGAGGGAGGTAGAGGGTGACAGAGTGACTGAAGGAGGGGTTGACTGGTGACAGTGACTGAGGGAGGGGGTGACTGGTGACAGTGACTGAGTGACTGGTGACAGCGACTGAGGGAGGGGGTGACTGGTGACAGCGACTGAGGGAGGGGTGACTGGTGACAGAGTGAGGGGTGTTAGATATACCTTTATTTTTTTCCTTTCCCTGGTGTTTCAGTGTCCTGGCTCCCTGGTTGTCCGGTGGTCTGTCTATCCAGTCTGCAGCTCCGCCGGGTGTGAGCTGCAGACTGTGTTGTATCTCGCAATATCCAGAAGTCAGAGCGTTGCCGTGGCCAGAGATCGCAAGATACAGCACAGTCGGTAGCTTATCCCCGGCGGAGCTGCAGACTGTACTGGCTCTCTCTCCGAGCAGACGAAAGGGGCCTTGCACCCGGCGGCACACGGGGCAAGCCGCCGGCCCCCTCCCAATGTCGGATCCTTGGTCATGGACCGAGGACCTGACAAGTCACTCTGCCCCTAGGCACCCTGCAACTAACCCACAGCAGGACTGAAAAGATAAAATAACTACCTGCCCGGCACCCACAACTGCATGTCCTGGGCGTCGGGCGACAGCGCATCCCTGGTGATTTTCTGCAGATTTTCAGTCAAAAATATCGGTGCACCCTACATAACCGGTCCTGTTTCTTCCTGGTTGCTCAGTTTAGTGGAGCTAAACTCAAGAGGCAGCAATTGCTCAGAGCACCTGCCTTACAAATATTTCTTACTGAGCTGCATTGGAATGTCTGATTGGACAACCAGAGAAAGTGTGAATTTGGGTAGGAGAATAGGGTTTGCAAAAGCAGCAGAAAAGAGTACTGAAGGATCTGCAAACTGTTTTACATATAACCCAATAAAAAAGTGTAATAAAATGCATGCAGGTTTTGAATTGGCATTTATCTACTGAACAGTGATTTTTTAAAATTTATTTTGGATTTGGCAGTGGAGTGTCCCTTTAAATCTGTGGCCGAGTCAAATACCACATACTGACTGTTCCTGTTACTTACTGGTGGCTATACATCATGGGTCACAGTATAAAAAAGAAGGCAGCTGAAGCAAATACATTGATCGATAGTAGTGATAAATGCAATCAACAGAGCTGGTGGGCCCCTAACCACAAACCTATATTAGCTTCAAAAAATATGCTGGGACAGTTTAAAAAAAAATAAAATGGGTCAATTATCTACATTGCATCCGAAATACATAGCTACAATTCAACAATTCCCTTTACCTATACTGACAACCAGTTAATTTTAGCATACAATCTATTTCTTTGAATAACTTCAGATCTAGAGTTGAACAGTCATTGTAAAGTGCAGGTCAGCCATCATAACGTTTGAAATGCATTTACGTAATAGAATAGGTAAATGCATTAGAGCATTAGAAGAGATTAACACGTCCATGTATGTTTAATTTATTAAATATTGCTGGTTCTCTGTATTTCAATCAGGTTCCCTGTGCAGATTATGCATTTGTGCAGTGAGATTTAGGGTTCAAGGAAAGTATGAAATATTTAATATCCAAAGCATTTTTTCACTTCAATGATCACTCTCTGCTTCAGGAACGTATACACTGCACATTTGAGAATCTCACATTTGGACAATATTTTTCATCCAAGCAATAAACTGGAGCGAGCACCCTAATCCTTTTATCCAACACGAGTCAAACAGTAATAACATCCAAAAGCGTCAGAATATAAGGACTCGCTTCTAAATATGGCAGACAAGTCATGTGGTAATCTTAATGGAAAAATATAAAACTGCTGCCAGGTTAGGGCTAAAAGTCTGTTATCCGTGCATTGATTAAATAGATTTTCTTTAGTCTTCTTAGTATGGTATTGGCTGTGATACAGAAGCTTCAAAACTTTGCTGGTGTAGTGTGTGTATACACATGCATGCACGCACGCACACCTATTTAAAAGGACACTTTAAACACCTGAACAACTTAAGCTTAATGGGCTTAATAGGCTTCATATTGCACGTCTCAGGTAATCACTGCTACTGATCATTCTTGTCACTTGCTTGGTTAACTGCTTTCTAGAGCACACAGCAGCCGTCTGTGTGTGATTAATTCAATTATTAGAACAGCAGAACCCAGTTCATAGGAACTTAGCACAAGGCTAAACTCCACCTTAGGCACACTGGAAAGAAGAGGACACTCTGTAGGCTATCTTACAACCATTCCATGGACTTTGACTCCCCATTGGGGTGAAAAGATTGGATACTAATAGGGCAGCTAGTGTCCGTTCATAATCCATTTAGCGGTGTCACAGAAACCTTGATCCACAGTATTGTCAGATTTGGACAGGTCACATACCCTTGTTCAACTACTTCATAAACAAGATGAATGCCTTTCTGGAAAACAAGTAAGTTATTCTTGGGGGCACACCTCACACTAATGTAACAGAAGTGGTCAGTAAACTAATAATCTACTCAAAGCTAGTGTTCATTAATGAGTTGGTGGCCTGAACTGAACTAGCTGTGATCCTCGGTTGTAAGGAACAATTTAAAAGGGGAGGGAGAAAAAAAAAAGGAGCAATTGATGAAAAATGTATGGAGGGAGGATTGGCAGGCAAAAACTACAGGTATAAGGATGCATAGAAAAGTGGGGCATTAACACAGGAGCCAGATATGTATGGAGAGGGAACTACAAGGAGCAATGTAAGGGAGTAGTAGACATAAACAGATGGGTCATGTTTAAAAAATGTGTTTGAGTGGTGTACACTTAAACATAGCCTTCCCACACCCCTATGCCCCCCCACCCCATACAATCATCAGGTGTCAAAAAAACAGATGTCAAGACCACAAGAAGCCAACCCTACACAACCCCACACTGCCACCAGCTCCCACACACATACACAGACATAATAATAAAAAGCACAGAAACAAATTCCAAACACATTCACAGATACACATAGATATACACTTACATACACACACCGCCAGATACACATTCTCGGGCACATGCACAGATAAGCATTGTCAGACACACACGTCAATACTGATACACACTACCAGAGAAAGTTTGTCAGTATGTGTATAAGTGTTCTCTGTGCATCAGTGTGTTTGCGTGCGTAGGTATTCGTGTGTGTGTGTCTTTTTCTCCAAAGAGTCAACCTGGTAGCTATGTGCCACATGTATACGTGGGGCTACACACTATTTTCATATCTGTAACTTTATTATTTTGTAATTTTTTAAAAAATTTTTAAAGGTTTTCTATCCTACCAAAACGTTTCTTTTTATTTCCATTTATGCATACTGAAAGAAAATACTTCTCCGCAGATGCAGTTGAGAGTAAACGATGATAGAGCGTGTTTTTTCCCCCACACTGAAGTACAGTCATTGACACTACACTGACACTAGATGTGTGGGAAAGTTTTTATCTTCTCAGGGAGGGGTGATTAGGTCTTCAATAGTTCATTAACGTAATTCATTTTTGGAAAAATTCCCTTTTCTCAACTTAAAATTAATACTGCTGAGGTGGCTTCCCATTATTCATTAATACAAGCGTGTAAAACTAAATATAATCATCATTATAAAACATCATTCTAAAGTTCCCTTATTTATTTTTTGTTCAATAGATGTGTAATAATATAATTAAAGTTAAATTAAAAATTCAGAATTGGCACAAGAATGGCTAATATTGCACAGCCATCATGCTAGACAATACTGTACCCATTTTTGCTTTGCACCACACTAATAGGCATCTTTTTACCGCTTTTTTGTCTGTCCAAATATTTTCCCGAATATTTTTTTGTAAATTAATTTCGGCAGAGCAAAACAATCACATAGACAAATGTCAGATGTCTCAAACAAAATTTTAGTTTTGGGAATAAAATCTCACCCTGCACAAGTCTACTAAACACAACATTTTAGCCAACTGTAAAGATAAAATTGAGGCTGAAATAGTGGACCTTTAAAAAAAAAAATTAAAAATCCCCAACTGTGCTTAAGTTACAATGTCGCTATTTCAGCATGAATTTTGCCATTTGGATTTACAATTCTAAGATTTGACATTTAGACAATAACCATTTTCATGCTTGAGAGTGACACTTGTAATGTAATTTAAGTATTACTGCCCTTTTAACTATGGAAATGTTCTTGTTTATAACCTGATGCAGTACAATTAAACAACTATATGACATTACACAACATAAGTTGTAGGAATACTGCAGTCTACTCTGAAAACATTATATGTATATAAAGAGAAAAACTGGACAAGGGTTAACTTCTAAAAGAATGTTAAAAATTCAGACACAACAATGATGTCAATGTGTGCTTGAACAAATAATCTCCTTTGTAGCTTGATGTTATCATTTAGTGGGAGATGGTTATTACTTAGTGTTAAAACACCTCCTGTCTTTAGCTATCAATGCATAGGCTGCTTTCCACAGGTAATGAATACTTGTGCTGGGAAAACCAGAGGTCTGTGCTATGTTTAGTAACTAGTACCTTGGGAAAACCTTATTTTCCTTTCTTAAACCTGCAATACTAACAAACTTGAAATCTAAAGAACCGTACAAAAGTTTGCTAAATCTATAGTGCACAATGTATCTACTACACTACCAAATTTCCACAGATTGCAAGCAGCAATGTTGATGGCCACACAAAGGAACATAAATATAGATTTTGCAGGTATAGCAACATAGTATACAAATGTGCACTGCATAAAAATATTTTAAAACGGCTCTGTAATTGTCTGGGTCTTCACAGACAGAATTTCAGTGAAATTCCAATACAGTAAATGTGAGTATTTCATAAAGATTTTATCATTACTGAATACTCATTGGAGGGGGAAGAGGTAAAAAAATTTAGAAATAATTTTTTAAATTGAAATTTAAACAAACCTGCCAGACCATGTAAATTATAGGCTTCATAGTGTACATCTCCGGTAACCACTGCTACTGATCGTCACACCACATTTATAGACATTTGTAAAACATTTTTTATTTTATGGTTATTTAACCCCTTAACATGTGTGACATGTCATGATTCCCTTTTATTCCAGATAATTGGTCCTTAAGGGGTTAAAGGGACACTATGGTCACCAGAAGCACTACAGCTTAATTCAGTTGTTCTGATGTCTACTGCCTGTCTCTGCAAGCTTTATTATAAAAACTATCTTTCCAGGGAAAGGCTGAATGTTCCCCATAAAGATGCATTGACGCAGTGCATCTCTAGGAGCAGATGCGGATAGGCGCAGGGCGGCATTTTGCTGATCATGCGCGATAGCCTCCCAATGCTTTCCTATGGGAAACCATTGGATTGGTGAGAACATCAAGTTTAATGATTTCAGTCAAGGGGACGTGGTGGAGCCAGCCATGAGAAAACCTGCGCAGAGCTGGAAAAAGGTGAGTAAATCACCTTTTTCCTGCACGGAGAGTGGGTCCAGCCACCTAATCGGCGCCATTAGACCTGTAGTGTTTGTATTCCTGACACTATAGTGTTCCTTTAAAAAATACATTTTAATATTTTTGATTTGGTTAAAACACCTGGACTGATCTGACTTCTCTTAATTCTAAAAATGAGTCGACATAACACCTCACACAAATGAAAACATTTGCAGATATAAAACTTTTTTTTTTAAAGCAACAAAAACACACACTCCTAAAACAAAATTGATGTACAAAAGCGTAGAAAAGTGATCATGAATTCATAAAGTGTTAACATTTTTTTCTTCAAATTCAAAATGCTTTCACTTTTGACCTTTATACCAAATATAGCACTGCTGCCACAATCAGGTGTGTGACAATCAGTAGTGTGAAATCTAAACAACACTTTGCTAAACACTTACTCTGGTCGGTACACTGGGAGCCAATACACAAGTCTCCCGCCTGTGACAAGGAACTCTGCAGCAAAGTTTAATAGGTCCGAGAAAATATCACATAGGTGGTAATTTAACTGAACAGGAACATGGCTTTCTGCACTGGAAGAAAAATTAAGCATTTATCACAAGTTAACAACTATAGAACTTAATGATCAATTATTACAAACAGAATACACACATTTAAGTATTTCTATTTTAGCAGCACATTCTATAGTCCACACATTGACATAAGGATTATTTGTCCATGACTCCACTAAAGTAGTATCATTTTCATTATCTCTACACAACACAATTTGTGAAACCAACAAATAAATAAATTAACCTTTATACGTTCCCTTGCTGTCAATCAGACAACAGGTCCAGATACTTCATAGTTGTTTAGTTCAGTGGAGCTAAACAGAAATTGATTTGGGAGGCTAGTGATTTATAGAAGTGGGTAATTTAAAAAATAGTGAAACCTATCTATCCCTGGGCTTCTTCAGGTTTCAATCCTGATAGGGGAAGTAGTTGCGAGTTAGTAGTACCATGTAGTAGGTGTACCAAAGGGCCTTTGCCCAGGAAAGCTGTGGGATAAGGGGAGCATGGTGTTTGGGATGGTAGCAAAGTTGGCATTTAAGAAAGACAGAGTGGAACCGATGAAGGGTTGTTACAGAAAGGTTTTATGGGATCTTGGTTCCGTCCAGCCAGGTTGTAGCTTGAAATTAGCAGCCAAAGTCTTCCAAATCCAGGCTCATACAGGAGGGATGTCGTAGGTGGATCTGCCAGTTCACTAGTCTCGAAAGGTGGACTGCCATGTAATATTTAGAAGGGGAACGTAGACCAGTTCCTTCTTGATGCTTCGGGTGGGCATAAGTGCTCCAGGCGAAGAGAAGTTTAGTCCATGCAAACACCCAATTATTTTATACCCTCTCTGCACTATTTAAAAAGGAAATTACCCTTCAGTATATCTGCCTCCTAAGATTGGACCATAAACCTCAGGATTTCAAACTTGTCTTTGTTTATTTTCAAGTTAGCTAGTGAGCTATATTCCTCAAATCTGGCAATGATATTAGGCAGGGACACTTCTGGGAAGTGAACAAAGATCAGGAAGTCGTCAGCGTAGTCGCAATCTTGTGCTCTATGCCACCCACCTCCATATTCCTTGCCAGATTGCATCCAGAAAAGGTTTAATGGAGAGAATGAAGAGGAGATAGAGGGCAGCCCTGTTGTGTACTCTTATGGATAGGGAACGGGGAAACAAGGACCCATTAAGCCACACCTGGCCTGATGAATAAGAGTATCCATTTGTGGTTGCCACAAAGCCAAAGCCCATCTCTCTGAGGGTGGAGAGTAAAAGTCCAGTACCCCCAGTCCAACGCCTTCTCTGAGTCAGTTAATAGAGAAAAAGGAGAGTGGTACCTGATCGATACACCCTATGCATCATGTTAAATGTCTGTATTGTCCTACACCTCCCTTCTAAATATGAAGCCGACCTGATTAATCCTTTCAGCCAGCACCTTTGCAAAAAGTTTAGGTCTGCATTCAACAGCAAAATGGGTCTGTAACTAGAGCACGCACACAGATTCTTGCCTACCCAGCACAGTACTGTTAATGCTGGCCAGCAATGAGTTTCTTGGAAGGACATCAACATGAAGAAAAGTTTAGGGACGAATAGGTTGCCGAAAATAATATAATACTGTAACGTGAGGCCATCCGGACCAGGAGAGTCTAGCAACCTCGCTGTATCTATTGAAAGGGATCACTGCAGATGTCGCCCGAAATAGTTAGATATCTGCACCTGCTTCAGTTGAAGGGCTTTGCCCTCAGGTGTAGGGGATGAGCTATAGAGAGAAGTATACCAAGACAAAAAATATATATTGTCAAGGTATCTGTATGTGTTCCTTTAATATATTTGTGGCGAAACCAACCTCGCCACTGTGAACTGGAGAAGCCTGGTTGCTCGCCTGCTCCCTTTGGACTATGGCCCTGCAGGTTAAACTGTTTATTTCCCCTGCAGAAAGGCTTATTTGTGTGATCTGAGTGCCATTCATCTAATAATGTGCACTCAGATCCCAGCTATCTGGGGATATGTGAAATGTCTGTGTGTTATGTGTAAATGTGACTTTATGTATTTTAAAGTGTTTTGTGTCTTTTTGCAACCATGTGCTTAATGGAGTCTTGTGTCTGTCCTGGGAGATAATTGAATTACTTATCTCCAGGATAGAAGACTCTGAAACTGGTTTGGGCCGGAAAGCCATGCTTCATTTAGTCACAAAGGACTTTCCCTTAACTTTTGAACCCCTGGTCTGATTCGTGCCATTTTTTAATATGTTGTTCCCCTGAATGGATTGATTCTGAAAATGTATGTTTTATGTTTGTGACATTTATATTTTAGAAGTTATAAATATTGTGTAAAAACTGTATTCCTCTGCCGGTGATAATGAGATTACCCATTGTGTTCAGTAATCATATCACCTGCAGAGGGGAGGATTTTGTGTGGGAGTGTCTGGGTGTATTGTACGGATTGATTGGTTGTTTTGTAACGCCCTGTGGGCTGTACTATGTTTGTGGATTGGGAATAAAAGAGACTGTATGTGACAGTACAGGGAGTTCCTGCTTAACCCTCAAAGTGAAGTGTCGTCTCATTATTGGGGGAAGGATTTATTGTATGCTGTTCCAGTTTGACTGCTAGGAGAGTAAACCTATTCGTATGGTTCCTATTCAACTGTCTACAGCATTCATATGCTTGAGAGGATTCATATGCTTCTCCGGTTCGGTGGTTGTGGTGTCTGCTGCAGTGCTTGGAGTCCTCAGGAAGCGCTAGGAGCATCCTTCAACGGAGGTACCCAGTCGGGGTGCCAGGTGATCCGTTACATTGGTGGCAAGCGGTGGGATGGCGTCCTAGTGCGAGGTAAAGCAGCTCAGAGACACAGTTCGTTTGGATTTACAAATTGAGGGCAACGCTAGCACACGTGCAGCGACCCTGGGAGCAGAGGTATCCAGCGACTTGGAGCAGACAAGTATGGAAGGCTCTGGCGATGATTGGATGGCCGAGGTGAGGCAGCGAGTGGCCCAGTATGGGGATGATTTACCCATGGAGGTACGCCGGGTGATCTGGAACCAGGTCACGGCCGAGCGAAACACAAGGCTGGCCCGAGAATTCCGGCTGGCGAAAGAGAGAGAGTATGCTCAGCGGAAGGAGTGTTACAGCAGCCGAGTAGAGGCTGCATCCGAGGAGGCTAGCCGTCTCCCCCTGAGGCGGCCGCAGGAACCCGAAGTAGGGGTCCTCATAGACTGGTCCTGTGAGGAACCACAACAGGCATGTGGAGATGGGACCGGCCCAGATCCCCAGCAGCAGCCGGAGTTGCCAGGTGCGGAAGCAGGTGGTCCTTACTCGCAAATGTTGAGGGACCTCACAGACTGGTTCTGGGCAGACCCACAGATGGCAGGTGGAGATGGGACGGCGGTCTCTCAACCGGCCCTACAGGGATGCTGGGCGGTCGGCCCAGATCTCCAGTGGCAGTATGTACCCCAGGGAGCTGAAGGTGCAGTCCTTCCTCCCCAGCGGCAGTGTGCACCCCAGGGAGCTGAAGGTGCAGTCCTTCCTCCCCAGCGGCAGTGTGTACCCCATGGAGCTGAAGGTGCAGTCCTTCCTCCCCAGCGGCAGAGTGTCCTGCAGGGAGCAGAGACCGTCAGTCTCGCACCCCAACCACAGGACAAAATAATGAAAGGGGAGACAGCTGGTCCCCCTCTCCACCAGCAGAGAGAGTGTCAGGGAGAGGAGCCTGATACCCCCTCTCCCCAGCGGCAGTTTACAGTTCAGAGAGAGGAGCTTGTTACACCCTCTCTCCAGCGGCAGCCTAACCCAGCAAGGGGAGATGTTACACCCCCCAACAGTGCAGATGGGACTGTAGTCTCTGCACTTACAGCACAAGGGGTAGGGACAGTCGGTCCTGTTCCCCAGCCACAGAGCGGTGTATCCAGAGGGGAGACAGTCGGTCTCTCCCTCCCACAACCAGGCTCCCACCAGGCTACTTCCGTGGTAGCACTGGCATCAGGGCAGAGTACCGCTGGTCTCTGCCCACTCAGCAACCCACCAAGGCAGCCTAACAGTTGCCCACACAGTCGTGGTGAGGCACCTGGACATGGACAAAGTTTTCCTCTACCCAGGTGTAGTAACCAGTTATTGTGGGTGGGCTGTACTGCTGTTTCTGTTTTGTGGGTGGGTTGCTGGACTAACCAGGGCACTGACCGGCAGGAGGTCAGATACCCTGTTAGTCTAGTTGGTAAAGGGGAGAAGTGTGGCGAAACCAACCTCGCCACTGTGAACTGGAGAAGCCTGGTTGCTCGCCTGCTCCCTTTGGACTATGGCCCTGCAGGTTAAACTGTTTATTTCCCCTGCAGAAAGGCTTATTTGTGTGATCTGAGTGCCATTCATCTAATAATGTGCACTCAGATCCCAGCTATCTGGGGATATGTGAAATGTCTGTGTGTTATGTGTAAATGTGACTTTATGTATTTTAAAGTGTTTTGTGTCTTTTTGCAACCATGTGCTTAATGGAGTCTTGTGTCTGTCCTGGGAGATAATTGAATTACTTATCTCCAGGATAGAAGACTCTGAAACTGGTTTGGGCCGGAAAGCCATGCTTCATTTAGTCACAAAGGACTTTCCCTTAACTTTTGAACCCCTGGTCTGATTCGTGCCATTTTTTAATATGTTGTTCCCCTGAATGGATTGATTCTGAAAATGTATGTTTTATGTTTGTGACATTTATATTTTAGAAGTTATAAATATTGTGTAAAAACTGTATTCCTCTGCCGGTGATAATGAGATTACCCATTGTGTTCAGTAATCATATCACCTGCAGAGGGGAGGATTTTGTGTGGGAGTGTCTGGGTGTATTGTACGGATTGATTGGTTGTTTTGTAACGCCCTGTGGGCTGTACTATGTTTGTGGATTGGGAATAAAAGAGACTGTATGTGACAGTACAGGGAGTTCCTGCTTAACCCTCAAAGTGAAGTGTCGTCTCATTATTGGGGGAAGGATTTATTGTATGCTGTTCCAGTTTGACTGCTAGGAGAGTAAACCTATTCGTATGGTTCCTATTCAACTGTCTACAGCATTCATATGCTTGAGAGCATTCATATGCTCCTACAATTCGGTGGTTGTGGTGTCTGCTGCAGTGCTTGGAGTCCTCTGGAAGCGCTAGGAGCATCCTTCAACGGAGGTACCCAGTCGGGGTGCCAGGTGATCCGTTACAATATTTAAACCTATTAGTGAAAATGTCATATTTAATAATTTTCTGAGGAACATTTGAATATGACATGATTACTAAATCACACCATGATTTAATAGTAACCCAATTTATATTATGTGTGTGTGTCTGTGTGTGACTGTACTATATATATATATATACATATTTTTTTTTCTTTTTCTTGTTAATGCACTTACAATAGTTCTGTTTTTATGATCTCTTTCTGTGTGCCTGTTTTTCTAGTGGACTCTCTAATTCCATATGGTGCTGTAAATGGAGAAAAACAAAGTCAGTAAAACATATTTCACAAATAAAGCATTTTACACACACTTTTCAATTAATCAAATACTGCTAGTAGTGTTTAATACAATGTATTTGTTTTATTCAATTATAAAAGGTTCTGGGAAATTATTCATTAAATCTTTTGCTTGACAGGATATATATACATATATGTTTTGTTTTTTTAAGTGCATATCATTCTATATCTTTACATTAGGGATGCACCGAAATGAAAATAATGGGCCGAAATCAAAACCGAAAATCCAGGATGCCCTTGGCCGAAAACCAAAAATTACTTTTTTCCCCAAATGATTTGTGTAGGTTATGTGGTGCGTGTATGGAATATAGTGAGGTGTGGGAAAGGGATGTAGTGTGTATGTGTGTAGGTTATGTATTATTATTGCCATTTATATAGCGCCAACAGATTCCGTAGCGCTTTACAATATTATGAGAGGGGGGATTTAACGATAAATAAGACAATTACAAGAAATCTTACAGGAACAATAGGTTGAAGAGGACCCTGCTCAAGCGAGCTTACAGTCTACAGGAGGTGGGGTATAAACCACTTTAGGACAGGAAATAGCAATCAAATAAGGATGGGAGAGAAGCAGAGCTGGATGAGAGAGTAGAGTGATGCCCTTTAGGAGAGAGTAGTGTGTGTAGGGAACATGGTGTGATGCAAGATAGAGATGTAGTGTGTGTAGGGAACACGGTGTGGTGTGAGATAGGGATGTAGTTTGTATGTTATGTAGAGTGTGTAAGGCACATATAGTGTGGGGTGGGCTAGGGATGTAGTGTGTGTAGGGCACATATCGTGGGGTGATAGTGATGTAGTATGGGTAGGACTCATAGTGCGAGGTGGGATAGAAATGGCAGAGTGAAGGGTGACAGGTGGCAGAGTGTGGGAGGGATGGGGTGACAGAGCATGGGAGGGAAGGAGGGTGTGACAGGTGACAGAGCATGGGAGGGAGGGAGTGACTGGTGACAGAGCATGGGAGGGAGGGGGTGACACAGTGAGGTAGGGGGTGACTGATGACAAGAGTGACTGAGAAAGGGGGTGACTGGTGGGAGAGTAAGGGATGAAGGGGTGACTGGTGGGAGAGTGAGGGATGGGGTGACAGTAACTGAGGGATGGGGTGACAGAGTGACTGAGGAAGGGGGTGACAGAGTGACTGAGGAAGGGGGATGACAGAGTGACTGAGGGAGGTGGCGACAAAGTGACGTGGCAACACAGTGACTGAGGGATGTGGCGACTGAGTGACTGAGGGAGGTGGTGAATGGTGACAGTGACTGAGGGACGGGTGACAGAGTGAATAAGGGAGGGGGTGACTGGTGACAATGACAGAGGAAGGGGGTGATTGACTGGTGACAGTGACTGAGGAAGGGGGTGACAGTGACCAAGGGAGGGGTGACAGAGTGACTGAGGGAGTTGGCGACAAAGTGACGTGGCAACCTATTTTCGGCGGAGCTTAAACGTTTTCGTCCAAAATGGGATAGGCCCCGTTTTCAGCCAAAAATTTTGGCAGCTGAAATTTTGGTGCATCCCTAATTTACATCTATTTTACACAATTTTTGTGATATGAATATTATAATGTGAAGGAACATTTATCAGTTCCCTGTCTTAAAATGGTGTTTTTGATATAAAATTGTAAAACAGTACAGTAACAGGGTAATACATTGAAACAAAAAGAGAAAACGGAAACATACGATCTGTGATGATAGCATCAAATAATGGCCCTTTTCTCCATATTGGTTTTGATGCATCAGAAAGCAGGACATCCACGTAATATTTCTCTAGACCATACTGCCGTAAGTTGGCCCGGATATTTTCATCAGGCCCTCTCCACTTCTGGTTCATTCTACTGGCTTTACCTAATGAAGCGTGTGAAAATAATCAATCATTTATCCATCATCATTCTCTCTACCTGTACTCAAGCTAGTGTGCCCTTAACGTTGCCCTGTCTTAAAAGCACATCTAACAGATTAACACATTTACATTGTTAATCTAAAATAATACATTATCCTCCATTCCAGTGGTTTCCATCCTTTTGGAGTAGGAGATACCTACATGGTACCAATGTTTTTGTATTGTAAGGAAATTCTGAATTAAATTTAAGGCAGTGCCTATCAGTGATATAAATGGACATCTCCTTAACCTCAAAATCACATTCTACCATTTCTAGATATGTTATTTAAAGGAACACTATAAACACCAAAACAACTTAATCTTAATCAATTGGTTTTGGTCTATAGAGCATACCCCTGCAATCTCATTGCTCAATTATCTGCCATTTAGGAGTTACATTACTTTTTTATGCAGCTCTAGTCACACCTATCCTGGCGGCTGAGGCTCACATAGCCTCCCTACACACTTCCTGAGAAAGAGGTCTTATTACATAGTGTGTTTATTTTAGAAGTTCATGTCAACTACCTGCAGCCTCTGGTGTGTGATTGAAGTTCAATTAACAGAGCAAGAGAAAAGAATTTGCAAAGTAAACACACTGCAAGGGCCTGAGCTATACACCAAAACTGTATCATTAAACTAAAATTATTTTGACGCTTCGAGTGTCCCTTAGAGTATCCATTTAAGCTCAGTGCACCAGTAATAGCTCATACTATTTCCCATAAGGAAGCAATGGGAGGCACATGAACAGCTAACACGCCACACAGCGTCAATTAGATGGACTCTATGTAAACCTATGATTGAAACATCTCTGTTCATGTTATGTGGATAAGCAGCATGTGCATTGTGTGAAGGAGTTATGGGTATAGGTAGGTTGTATGGCGTGTGTGTTCTGTGTACGAGTAAATACAAAATGTGAGGAATGAACACCATTCTCTCTTCTTTTTACCTTTCTAGAAAGGTGTCAGGACTCAATAAAAAATGGTGTTTTCAGGTGACAGGTCTGATTTAAATAGTAAAGGACTCTAAAACTTACCTAAACCATGGGCTGTGTTGTAATCAATTTCAGAGCCACATACATAAGCCCCAAAGTGAGCACATGGCACCAAAAGACCACCTATAGGAAGTAGATTTGGAGACATCAATAAAAACATAATGCACTCCCTGGCGGCTACTTCATTGATACATTCCCCAAGGAATATATTCCATTATTTTTTTAATAATTTCATGACCAACAAGTCTTTCTGCAGAAATCACAGTCTAGTCCCGTCACACAATGTGTGAGCAGATAATGACTGTTATTTGGGATCAACCGAGTTGCTGTTAAATAAGTGGGTCATTCCATTTTGGAACATAGTTTTAATGACCACATTATTATGAAGTCAGACAACCAGTTCTTAAAGTGTTCATAGGTTTCATATATAAGAGCTGTCCAGCATTAACACAGTCAAGAAACAGGCACAAGAAAATAAGCTTATTATTGGTTATCTGGGATATAATTTATTGGCCAAATGGAAAGCATCAACATATATTGCATAAACTGCTGACTCCACTGTAATCCTAGATGTATGGTTTATATATATATATATATATATATATATATATATATCCACAAATTGAAAGGATTTCTAGATATTAGAACCCCCACTAAAAAGGGGGGGAATAGTATTTTGGCACCATTCATCTTGATTCAGTTGCTTTCCCTAGTAGCAGTGGAATGGATTGGAGAAAAGATTGTAAAATGGTTGTTTTGCTCCGCTGCAGTGAATTGATCTCCTCCAAGAATATTCTGCACGTTCAGTTTTCCAATTTAACTGATTATAACTAATAATAAAACAGATTTTGGCATGTCTAAATGTTTTATTTTCAAGGAGACATATACAACAGTAGGTAATAATTCTTTCTGCCTATAATATTTTGCAGTGTTTTCACCTTTTTCCTTTGGCAACAGTAATACAACAGTATGACAACAGTAATACAACAATGCCACCTAGAGGCTGTAAAAAAAAAAACCTGCATTGTGCCACTGCATTATTTTTTTTTCACCTTCACTACTGGATTATTTTTAAAACACACAATTTACAGTAAGAGAGATGCATGGGGAATATCATGTAACAATACGGCAACTACAGACTTTTAAGCGATGCATATAAAGATGTAGAATTATAGAAACTGATTTTTTTTTTTTTTTAAGTACTGTAGTGGTTACAGTGACAAAGGTCCCCTAGCACTGTCCCTCCCACTGTCACTAGTCAAACAGTCCAACCACTCAAAATTGCTAAAGTTTTCATTCATACATTTTGTGCAACTTTTCACTTTTTGCATTGGCCCAGTGAACCAGAAACAGAATGAAAACTTAACATGGTATGATGCAATGGGACTCCTGGAACCATGTCCGCTACAGCTTGATGTAGTGGTTACGGAGCATAGAATACCCGTTTATTTGCTTACCCCTTTGCAAGAATAATGGCTGGGTATAGGCACAACAGTGAGCATAACGTACAGTGAGTGTCAGTTCAGGTATTTCAAGTCTTCCAGCTCAAGCACACCTGGTGCAAATAATGAAGCCCTTGCTTACTTGCATCATGTGTGCTTGAGACAACACCTGTTTTGCATATTTTGTGAGGGATTTTAACCCCTTAAGGACACATGATGGAAATATTCCGTCACGATTCCCTTTTATTTCAGAAGTTGTGTCCTTAAAGGAACACTATAGTCACCTAAATTACTTTAGCTAAATAAAGCAGTTTTAGTGTATAGATCATTCCCCTGCAATTTCACTGCTCAATTCACTGCCATTTAGGAGTTAAATCACTTTGTTTCTGTTTATGCAGCCATAGCCACACCTCCCCTGGCTATGATTGACAGAGCCTGCATGAAAAAAAAACTGGTTTCACTTTCAAACAGATGTAATTTACCTTAAATAATTGTATCTCAATCTCTAAATTGAACTTTAATCACATACAGGAGGCTCTTGCAGGGTCTAGCAAGCTATTAACATAGCAGGGGATAAGAAAATCTTAATTAAACAAAACTTGCAATAAAGAAAGCCTAAACAGGGCTCTCTTTACAGGAAGTGTTTATGGAAGGCTGTGCAAGTCACATGCAGGGAGGTGTGACTAGGGTTCATAAACAAAGGGATTTAACTCCTAAATGGCAGAGAATTGAGCAGTGAGGCTGCAGGGGCATGTTCTATACACCAAAACTGCTTCATTAAGCTAAAGCTGTTCAGGTGACTATAGTGTCCCTTTAAGGGGATATTCAGAGGGTTGAATAATTTGCATAAACAACTTGAATAAAGTTGCATTTTCAGTTGAATTTGGGGAAACAACTTGAAGCGTTCATTGTGTCGAGCTATTTCAATTGCTTTGTTTGATTTGTTCATTGATAAAGCTGAAAGGCCGTACATTTTGAAAATATTCAACCACCAATGAAAATCAGTTTTATTGTCAAGTTCTCATTCATACATTTTGTGCAACTTTTCACTTCTTGCATTGGCCCAGTCACCCAGAAACAATAGAACTACTTAACATGGGGTGATGCAGACTTTTAGCCTTTTAGCTGTTTGCAATGAAAAACCAAACACAAGCAATTGAAATAGCTCTACACAACTAATGCTTCAAGTGTTTTCCCCAAATTCAACTGAAAATGAAACCCTTAATGACTTCTCTAGTCTCAAAATTATTCAACCCCCTGGACAGAATCAACTGTAAACAACGGTAGATTTTAATTTATACAGGAAACTGGTGAAACAGCCAACAAATGCCCCCAACTAAAAATGAGATATTTCACAATTACAAATGTCCTGTTATGATAATTTTCTTAGCCAAACAAAGAGAACTTACAACTAGTGAAATGTTAATGCACACGTCTACAGATCACTCAAATCAGTAATACAAGTTTGAAACAATTTCCTTTCAATCTTTCACTACATATCCCATTGCTAATATTCACAATTTTTTGTTATCATTTTATCAGTAGTGGCTTAGTACCTAGCAATAATGCTGATTCACCCCTAACAGATATAATGAGTTAATACATGGAAGCTAGACCTGTTATAAATCGCTTGTCATTGGAATGGCAACATGCGAAAAATTTCTCCTGGTACTTACCAGTTCCAACAAAAGGATCAAATACCAAATCGTTTGGTTTCACTCGTGCATGGTTTGCCATAAGAAAAGCAAGCCCAGCGTCCATGCTTGTGTTGCCAATGAAATGCCTCTTCTTGACACTGTAGGAATTGATCAGGTCTCTTTGTCCATCTGCAATCTTATTAAAACAGTTGTTCCCATTAAATAATCAACAGGCTTGTATTAATTTCATAGCTCAGATTACAAGATTTCGACAAGGCAGGACTTGATAAACGTATAGTGTTATTCAAGAAAGTGGGAAATCAAAGTCAATTTTAAATTCAAGGTAAAAAATAGCCAAACTGAAAACATTTTCTAAGTCAGCTATACTTCTAGTTTGGCTACTTAAATTTGAAATTAATTTTGAAGTCTCACTTTAGTAAATAACCCTGTAAGTCATCTTGATCAAAGATTCATACTTTAGCTGAACAGAAAAAGTTGAAGAGTTGGAGGTGAGAGGTGTTAGGAACAATGCTTGCCGCACTTTGAAGAGGCAGCGATTTTTGGGGAAATCAAGGCCAAAACTAGACATTTCTTATTGGTGGAGCCTCTTTCTGCTCAGGGACAGATGGTCATTTAGCTGTGGATAGGCTCTCTCATTTAAATAGCTGCATGAACGCAGAATTGTAATCTTTATTTTAATTCTGCTTAAAGGGTTACTCCAACCAAAAGTTAGAGTAAAACCACTTTAACCCCTTAAGGACCAAACTTCTGGAATAAAAGGGAATCATGACATGTCACGTGTCCTTAAGGGGTTAAAAACTAAAAGCAAAAATAAAAAAATAAACGTTGAAACTCACCTCTGTTCCACTGCCGTGTGCAACGTCTTCCACTCTCCAAAGGGAAGGTAAGTCAGGGAGAACAGACTGAGGGAAGGACACAGGCAGCACATAGGTGGCAACATGCTGCCATTGGCTGCCTGTCGCCAGCATGCCATGTGTGGTGGTGTTAGACAGTAATTTTGCACAGAACTGATATTAGGCTAATGACACTGCCTCTGACAGCTAAGGGGTTATTATCAGTATGTGCAGCATTTCGTAGAGAAATGTTGCACATACTGACTCCAGACACCAAGTCTGGAAGTGGTCATAGTGCTTGGAGTAACTTTCTATTTTATTTTAGCATACATTTCAGTATATTTTGAAAAAATAGGAAGTCAGGTTATGTCAATGGTTTCTCTTATTTTGTACAGCGGAAGTTGTCAAATATTTATTAATACCTAGTGCATAAAAAAAATATCAAAAGAAAATGACCAAGAGCAAGCAGATGTCCGTACCAACAGAAGCCCAACCATGCATTCCATATACTCAGAAAACACATATTACTAACAATGGACACCTATGTCTCATTCCATTTTTTTTTTTTCCTCTTGTATTTCTCCTAAAATGCATAAGGCAAAGTAGGGACTACTTCCCTTTATGTATTTTTCTTATGCCTAACAAAGCTTGACAAATTGTGGAGCAACCTCTGACAGCTGTGGGGAAAAAAGCATTGTCTATGGAGGTTCCCAGGGTCTCGTGGGATCGACCATAGACCTCAGAACTGTACGTGTGTGTGTGAATATACATCACTGATGTGACATCCTGTCAGATGAAGCACTAGGAGCTGTAGAGGATCCTGTTAAAGAAGATGGTAGCGGCCATGAGGGGCAGCTTCAGGTAAGTAAATCTTACCTCCCCCTGCAAGCGGCGTCCAATACACACCTAATTGCAAAGAAGGTGACACAGCTATTTTAAATAAAATATTTCTTACGTATTTTATATAAAAATATATATTTATATAAAAACGGTTTATTTGGTGTATATAACATTCAAATGCATACATTAACATTGTCATATTGTACTCACCCACCGGCCAAAGAAGATTTGAAGGGGCTCTAAGCGAGTATTATTGGGTTCTGGACCATAATCTTCAAGCAAGTAAAATATGTGCTCAGCATTTTGTAAATTCACTTTTCCTTTAAATGGCACAAATTCCAAGGCCTGTATTTTAAGATGCAAGAAAAATATATTAAATTAGAAAATTGTCTTAATCTAAAAAGATCTAGTTCTAAAAAAAAAAAAAAACAAAAAAAAAAAAATCCATTAAAGGCATCAAAACAACACTAGCTTAATTAAGCAGTTTGGGTGTATAAATTATGCCCAGCAATCTCACTGCCAACTACTGAAAGCTCCTAGAGAAGGGACCGGTGCCCGAACTCCAGGTAAGTTGTCAAACCATTTGCAAACAGCTTAGCAACTTACAATGGGAGGGCAAAAGGAGTTAGTGATACACAGACTTATTTGACAAAAGGAGAGTTACAACAGTTAGTGCTGCACAGACTCATTTAACAAAATAAAGCTCACAAAATACTTACATCTATCTTACTTAGCTTTTCTTTCTGTGACAAGGTTTTGTTAAAAGTATGGATGTTTATTTTGTATGTAGAGTTAGACTGAAGATAGTTGACCTGAAAAAAAAAAAAAAAAAAAAGAACACACAGTAAGTTACAAAATAATAGGCAATAAAAATAGAAAATTTCATTAAAACATTTCGTACCATGCTTTCTAAAGGATGGCGTTCAAGAGATTCTTTAAGCTCTTCCAAGGATTTTCCATGAGCCCATAGCTCAAAAAGAGACCTGAAAAGGATAAAAAGGAGAATAAATAAAGAGCAAATATTAACAATACATATTTACTGCATGGAAAACAAAACCCCTGTTAAAGCAATCAAAATGTTACTGTGGCGAAGCTCCCTGTACCCCAGTCAGGTACCTCCACGGGTCCGCTTCCTAGCTGTGGCTGGATAGGGGAACTAGCTCTGTTCACTCCCAGGAGCTGGATGGCACACGGTCCTGGGAGCTACTCCGTCCTTACAAGGACTTTCCCTGCTGCATCCTCTACACGCTGGAACAGCTAACACAGGGATTAACCCTTTCTTCCCCCAGTAATAATAAATAGCAAATAGCGGGTCTATCGGATGTACAGAGCCAGAGAAACCATCATACAAAGCCTGGGCTCGAAGCTCTTTACATCCCCGTAATTAGTTCCACAGCGTTGCTTGGTTTAGTCCGGTGAATTCAAACTTTGCGCCTATACCAAGCAACAGCCAATCCAGAAAAAGGGCACAAACCAAATCGCGCCAATCAGCGCTCAGAGAGGAGAGGAGAGGGGTTTCGCTGCACAATCAGGAGGAAGGGCGAAACCCATTCTTCTCTGATTGGTCACCTGCGCCCTGCCGCGCCAATCAGCTCTTACTTGTGCCGACCCATCAGGAAAATGGCGCAAACCCAGTTTGAATGGGAGCTCCTTTTACAATTGGTCGGCACGGACTTCCAGGTGGTCAGCGGGACTCGTAGCTCCCTGGTAAGGAGAACAGAGATTATAGCTCTTTAAGGGCGATCCGAACCACCGGTACCCCACCAGTGTCCCCTCCAACCTCAGGGACCCGTTCATGGAGGGAAGCGTCTACTTTTGGGATACGAATGCTCCCAGTGGGTGGTGTTCACCTATACGAAATGGCGGCCACCCATTACTTCCTTCCTTTGCGGTTTCACGCTTACATTGCAGGTGCGAACGTTCTGATTGATTGTTGTGAACATTTAAACAGGGTAAAGGGGTGGTACGCGTTCGGGAGACGAACTGGTTCCGTTCGTATGAGCGCTCCCGAATGGGGAAACAGACACAATACATGAAATACAAGTGGGAACACATAATACAAGGGGAAAAACACACGAATAAGCAGTGGGCATGGTACTTAGTGGCGGCGGCCCATCACAGTTACATTTTAGAAATATACTTACCTGGGTCCAGTGCTGATGTCCAGCGTTCAGCTCTGCATACACTCCTCCCCCACCCTTGGAGACATAATGCGCATGCGCAGCAATGGCCGCGATCACATTAGGAACTCCCCATAGGAAAGCATTATGCATAGTTTGAGGACATCCAGCATCGTTTAGATGACCAAAAGACGGAAGACTCTCTAGTGCAGGGGTTCTCAACCCAGTCCTAGAGGACCCCCTACCAGTCCAGGATTTAGGGATTACCCTGTTGTTTCTAAAGTATTTGTCTCGCTCCCACCCACCCTCCCCCCCCCCAAAAAAAACACAGACACAGCAGGGTAATGCCTAAATCCTTAACCCTAGCAGGTAATTATTGCAGTTTATAAAAACTGCAATAATTGCCACTCTTGAGGTAAGGGTGATGGGATTTGGCACCCAGACCACTTCAATGAGCTGAAGTGGTCTGGGTGCCTACACTGTCCCTTTAAATAAGCAGCAACAGTATGATATTGTAGGCAGGAGTTAGCAGCATGAATCACCAGAGATTTTACATATCCTGCATCTACACCCAAACCAATTGTCGGAACCCTAACAGGATCAGTGGAGCAGCTGTAGTTCCCTGCTAGTATCTCTGGTAGGTAAAGTACATATAAAGTTCCCACATAAAATTGCTCAGTTAATTGCTAAGAGATCAACAAATGGACACCAGAGAGCTCTCTCCACTGGCCCACATGAAAATACCGCTGCAGTGTGATCGATTGTACTTCACACAATGACCAGATCCGCTCAGTGCCAGAAAGGTTGTGGTTATCTAGGTGCTTCAACAAATAAAATTGCTCATTTTATTTCATTTTAACACTACACGCACTTTTATTTATATCTTGTTTTCAAGATGTTTCAACCAGTGTTACCTAAGCCACCTCAATGAATTCAAGGCTGTAATCAGTAGAAAGCTAAAATGAGCAGTAAATAAAAATGTTGCATTATTATTAGTGGTTAGTGGTATATTCGGTAAACATATAACTGCAGGAAAAAAAATTAAAGGAACAATAAGGGTCAGGAACACAAATATGTATTCCTGACATTATATTGTTAAAAACCTCTTCTTACTTAGCCTCCTGGACCCCCGCTTACCCCCTAACTATAGTAAAACCTTACATTTATTTATGTCTGCTGGTGCTGGCTCTGCCCTGATCTGCCTCCTTGGCTAACATCATAGGAAAGCATTGGATTGGCTGAGATTGTCAATTCGGATTATCTCAGCCAAGGAGGCGGGCCGGAGCGGAGCCAAATGCTACCCTGGAAACTTAGCATTTCCTCATAGGCATGCATTGAATCAATTAATCTATTTGAAGATCTTTCAGCGTCTCCATGCAGAAGGTGGAGACAATGAATGCCAATGCTGCACACTGTGCAACACGGCCCCAAGAAGCACCTCTAGTAGCCATAGGAGGAGTGACCACTGGATGTGTCCCTAGGCTGAACGGAGTGTTTATTGCAAAAAGCCTGCAGGGACTGACTATACTTACCAGAACAAGTACATTAAGCTGTAGCTGTTTTGGTGACTTTAGTGTCCCTTTAAGCTCACCCACACTGACTAGAATTGGGGATTTTTTTTTCCCTTTTCATCTAGAAAATAAACACCTTAAGGTACTGCATGTATGTTCATTTGTATAACTGGAATTCAATTGTACAGTGCTTTGGGCACATCACTTATCCAGCCTTACTTTGCACACACAGTCCGCTTCATAAGCTTTCTTGCCATTTCTTCAGACGGAAGGTGAAGTACACAGAATGGAGACTGTAAAACAAACGCAAGTAAAAAAATAAAGGCATATAAAACGGTGATATTATAAAATAAAGATGTGCTGGCAAAACAATAGACAGCCCTGCTTATAACCGCTTACAAACTACAGAAAATGAGGAGCAACTTATTCCATAAGGTATACAGCTTCCTTAACTTATCTAGACCTTCTAGTAAACAAAGTATTCGTACTATTAAAGAAACACTTAACCGTTCGGAACATAGGTCTGCATTCCTAACCCTTCAGTGTCCCTGTCTTTAGTAACAGAGACCCCTCCCCTTTTAAATAATAATACATTTTAATCAAATAAATCAATGATTTTCTATGTAGGCTTCTGCCTTACACAAAAGTTTTTCTCTGTCAGTGCCTTGGTAGCACCTCTAGTGACTGTAAGGAAGACAGCACTAGAGGTGGATTTAAACCTGGAATGTAAGCAAGTGCAGTTTCTAAAACAACAAACAAAAAACCCACAATGTTTCACATTGCAGGGTTAAACCTGCAGGACCACTACACCCAGATGACATCATTAAGATAAAGTAGCCTGGGTGAATTTAGAGGTCCTTTTACCCCTTAAGGACAGAGGCAATGTACATGTTCTGAACAAAACAAAATGTAAAGGCTTTTGACTGTGTGGATTGGCATTTTAAGTTGCTCTTTAAAGTCCATGGGTTATGGACAGACATTTTGCAAATGGATAAGAGCATTGTACTCGACACACACAGCCAAAGTCTGCATTAATGGACTCAATGCGGATTGCGAACAGGACCAGACAAGATTATCCGCTCTCGCCACTCCTGTTCGTGTTAACTTTAGAACCTTTTCTGGAGGCGGTTAGATGGAACTAGTTCATCCAGTGATTTAAATATTCTGGAGTTGAGCACAAGGTCTCGGCTAACGCCGAAAATGTATTGTTTTATGTTGAGCAGCCGTTAACTGGTCCCCCCTAAATTTACTGAAAGGTCTGAAAGTACAGTGATTTCAGCAACTTAAAACTGAGCCTTGATAAGTCAGGAGCATTGAACATATTGATCCCGGATTGTGAGTGGGATCAGTTGATCCCGAATTTTCACTCTCGCTGGTGTACTGATTAAGTATTCAGGGTTATGGGTTCTGTGGGATCTGAAGGCCTTATAGCAAATGAATTTCCAACCCCTCCTAAACTGTATTTTAGCAGATACGAAAACCTGGACAGTGCCTCACTTCTCCTGGACTGGACACGTTAGCTCAATAAGGATGAACGTTCCCCACAGGATCCTTTATCTGTTTCAGAACATCCCTGTGATGCTTCCACCGGAATTTTTAAGTCATTAAATTCAGTGTAGTTACAATTTATCTGAAGAGGGCGTAGGACTAGACTTCGCCTGGTACAACTGATGAGACCGAAGCAGGAGGGAGCTTGGATCTGCCCTCATTTGTGGATTATTATAGAGCTGTCCACTTGACGAGGCCGGTGGAAAGGCATAATGCAAACTCTCAGAAAATCTGGTGTCACCTCAAGAGGGAGATATCAGTGGGCCGGATTCCAGCTGCGGTATGGTTGCTAGATGCCGATTCTAAAAAAAAAAAAAAAAAATCTGGGAACAACCCTTCATAGGAGCCTCTCTGCAGATTTGGCATTGAATTTGTTTTAGATCCTCCCTCACCACTTTAGAGAGTTTGATGCATCCAATCACTGGAAGCTTGATCCAATCACTGAAAACAGAGGTGGCACTTGATCCCTATTGCACATTTACAGGGAATGACCGTGGATAGTTCCATACTGGCAGCAAATACACAACGCTATGCTATGCTCCTCAGCCGTTAGGCTTTCCCTGTCTAGAAATACAAGAAACCAATCTCTCTGCAAATGTGGATGGCAACATGCTAAACGATTCCTGCCTTTTGGTTACAGAAAGATCTGCTGATGTTTCATAATTGGTTGGGAAGGGTGGAGGAGATTCATCAAATGAAAGAGCGGGTGGCTGCATCTGGAGAGAGGCTAGAGAAGCATGAAGAGATCTGGAGGACCTGGGTGTTCTGAGTTCTAATGACTAGCTACTCAGCCCATGAGAGGTCTATCGGCCTATTGTCGAGGACAGAGGAGTTGCAATTCGGAATTGCGGCACAAGAGAATGTGCTGTTGCGTTCTAACTGGTTCACCCATACCCTAACCACCCACTTTTCCTTCTCCTCCCTCTTCCCTTTTCATTTATGTGTACGTGTTTTTTTTTTCTTCTCTCTCTGTCTCTCAACTCTATCTACCCATCTTTCTCTTTCTCTCATCCTACATTATTATCTTTATACATTTTGATTCGGTACTCACTAGGACTCTGTGGTCCTGATTTGCTGGAGAGAAGTGCCTGAACTGAGAAAAATCTAGGTTGACGCATAAGGATGGGAGTCACAAAAGGTGACTTTAGTTTTAGTTTAGATTAACCAGACACTCAAGCACATGCTTTATTGTTCCTTCACATTGCTTATATATCAGCTGCTCTCTATTGATCCCTTTGGCTTTAGCCAAGTACTTTCACTTTTGGTACTGCTGTACATACTTTCTGGCATTATGGCACGCACAGTGACAATTCAGGTCTCTGCTTATGTATACAACTTTTATGTTTGTTTTTTTTCAACTGTGGTGATCGCTCCATAAATATGCTCCTACTAAACCTGAGATTTTATATTGTACCTGCCTTGCAAACATTACTTTTCCTATTGTATCCTCTATATATTTGCACAAACTCCTGTATTTTATACAAATAATGTTTCAATAAGCATTGATTATAAAAAAAAGGCATCAACCCTAGAATTTGAGCTATTCGTCTGTTTAATCATAACTTACCTCTTTGATATTAAGTGTACCCACACTTCTTATATATTACTTTGTTCAAAAGAAGCAAGGTTTTCATTTCCCATCAAATATTCATGTATGAAACATAATTTATTATGAATAAAATCTAACAAAGCGTGAAATTTTGTTATTTTCTTAGTTCTTTATGGCATGTTAAAAATTTTATCAAAAGGAAGATGTAGAGTCATAATCCCATTTAAAAGAAACATGTACAGGGCTATTCACTATAGTGATCTTCAAATTTTAGGCCAAAGTAGCGTAACTGGAAACATAAATGACAGACATTATTTCTCAATTTAGCTATTTTGGATTTTTAATATAAAGACTATAAGTAGCAGTAATAAGCCTTAAATAGTGGGTCTAGCATCTCAGTTACTTTTGATTCACCACCTAGAAGTCAAATTTTATTTCTCATCCCTATGTTGTAGTTGTTGACACCCCCCAACAATATAGTAAATTCTAACTTGTTATTGCAGTCTGCTGCTGCTAGCTCTGCCCTTGATCTGCCTGCTTGGCTGGCATAATCAGAAGTGTTATTCAAAGCCAATCATAATGCTTTCTCATAGGAAAGCATTGGATTGGCTGAGCTTTTCAAGGAGGGAGATCAGGGGCAGAACCAGCACAGGCCAAACACAGGCCTGGTCAATCAGCATCTCTTCATAGAGATGCATTGAATCAATACATCTCTATGAGGAAGTTCAGTGTCTCCATGCAGAAGGTGGGGACACTGAATGGCAGTGACTGCCCCAGGAAGCATCTAAAGACTGGCTAGTGGAGGTATCCCAAGGCTGTACTGTAAACACTGCCTTTCTCTTTAAAAAAAAAAAAAAAAGTGTTTATTGCAAAAAGCCTGAAGGGAATGTTTTTTACTCACCAGAACAAATACAATACGCTGTAGTTGTTCTGGTGACTACAGTGTCCCTCTAATCTGGGCCCCTAATATTATATTATACATTATATTAATATTGTGTATGTTTGTGCACTGTGTCCCAATTTACAGTACCGTACTTGTAGGTAGTTTGTATCTTTGTCTTTACGCAATTATTTCATTGAAATGGCACTGTCATTTGAGTGTTTCATAAACATAGAATGTTTACAAAAAAACTCAAAGACTATGATGGAATGTCTTTGGTATATTAGTGCAATCATAAGGTGTTATTTGTCTTAGGTATGACCTCCTTAGAAGAGGCCATTTTGTCTCCTAGGCAAACTGTAACGTTTCACCAAAAAAAAAAAAAAAGACAAATATCTACTATAGTATATCGCTAATGGTTTTCCACTTACCTTTGCTTGTGCATCTTGAATATTGTTGAAATGGCCACCAAAAAGGGTTAGTAAGGACTTGATTTCCTGTCGAATTGTCAATGAAAATTAAATTATTTACTTAACCTAAGATTATTTTCTATACAGACAGGGAAAGAAATGGGTAACATCTATTGTTTTTTACTACAACACCAAGATTGTAATGTTTCTCTCTTTTAGTTACCGGTACATGGGGTTGGTTGTTTGGCTTTTTAAGCATTATGGTAACTCTACCCGTGCATGTACTGTGGTATCTAAAACTCTGGGCCACTAGATGTTGCTGAACTACAACTCCCATAATAATATGGCTATCCAGGCCATTTGGGGAGGGGGCATATTTTGAGATCCCTGTATTAAGTTATAACAGCTTATGCTCATTGAATAGGCACATGTTCCCCATCATAGAGCTTGCCATAACAAAAAATATTCACATTATACTGCATTATTACATCAGGTACAATAGAGACTGGTGGATGATAACAGCAGTGTGACTAACTGTCTGCAGTGACTGAGTAATAAATACACTGATGAGTAGCCTGATCCTCAACACCCCGGGTATTGTGGACTGGAAGTCCAATGACTCTCAGCCAGCCATGCCTGAAACACACCCACAGCAGAGCAGAATGGGGGGCTGGCACAATCTCTCCTCTTAGTGACAGCCTCCCACAAACACAGGGTCGCCCGGAGCCCACCCTGCTTACCGGCAGGCGGAACTCGCAGTTATCCTGGGCCAGTAGCAGAAGGTACTTTCTCATGGCAGCACCGCTCCTGCAGGACAGCGCCATCTTGCCCAGTGACGTCAGCAGGGGGGCGGGGCAGGAAGTGTAGTGGTAGTGCGGCTCGCTGTGTGTTGGGTGGAGCTGGCGGACAGACAAAGCTGGAGAGCGGAGCCAGAGTCCCAGCAGGCGGGGAGCCGGGCAGAGACACGGCCATGGCTGCCGACACTGAGCACCAGGACTCGGCCTTTGACAGCAAGTGCGTCTTCTGCAGGATCGCCAGCAGCGAGGAGAGCGGGGCCGAGATGCTCCATGTCGATGTGAGTCCCCCACCAGTCATGGCACGGGGAGGGTGGCTGTGATGGCACGGGGAGGGTGGCTGTGATGGCATGGGGGGGGTGGGAAGAGGGGGAGCAATGCAGTGACGGTCCAACACTAACAGCACTGATAGCACTGGATGAAACGAATATGGTTTAATAATGCTCCTTAAATTGGGGCTGTCACTGTCACCAGGATTTGTAATATTTACTTAAAGGGACACTATAGTCACCAAAACTACAACAACTTAATGCCTGGTGTCTATAGTATGTCCATGCAGGATTTTTAATGTAAACACTGCCTTTTCAGAGAAACTTCCTTCTGCTTTTAGCCCAGAATAACTTGTAATCCTTCTACAGACAATCCCTACATTCAGCGTCTCCTTGCTCTGCATGGAAGCACTGAACACGCAGTGTGTGGCGCAGTGTGTGTGGTGTTTAGCTGTGCATGCGCAATAGCCTCCTAATGCTTTCAGATGAAAAAGCATTGAATTGGGTGAGATCGTCGAGATTGATGATCTCAGCCATAATGGCGGGGCCATCTGTGGCAAGGCATGGGAAAAAGGTAAGTAAACTCACCTTTAACATGTGATCTTAAAGGGACTGGTCACCTAAATAGTCAAATACTGTAGTGTCCGGAATATATGTTTGTATTCCTGATACTATAATGTTCCTTTTTATAGGGATACTCAAGACCCCTAAAGCACTTTAGCTTCCTGAAATGCTTTATATGGGAAGAGTGTGTCCTCTTCATTTTACAAAATGTAAATATTTCAATACAAATTGACATTTTTACAACTTAACCTTGGTAGACTCTCCTAGCTGTCAATCAGACAAGGGATCCTGTTACTTCCTGGTTTGGTTAACTCAGCTGCGCTAAGCTAAAGAGGCAGCAACACCTGTGTTGCAAAGACTTCTCATTGAGTTGCATTGGGAAGTCTGTGATTGGGCAGCCACAGAAAGTCTTGTCTAAGTTAGAAGGGGAGGGCTTGCAAAGGCACCAGAGAAGAGTACTGCAGGTTTTGTAAGCTGTCTTTAGATATCCTGCAATAAAAAATGAATAATTAAAGCATGTATGTTTTCATTTGGGCAAGTCAATTCATATATATGAGAATATGCTGGTTGGCAAAGCTCAGTGATTGCCACGCATGTGTGTTATATTTACCGCCACCACCACATAGAAGCATTGGATTAGCTGAGATCATCACTAATGATCATCACTAATGATGGTCTTAGTCAAGGAAGTACTGAGCACACTGACACAGGCTCGCCAAGTGTAGAAGGTGAGTAAAATGTATTTATTATTTCTGGGGGGGTAACCCTGAATTTAAGAAATACATGTTTGTAAGACTAACAGAGTGTTGGTTTAATCATTATTAGAACCGCTTCCCTTTTCACACTATTGAACTTGAGACAAAAACAATGGAGGAGATTTATCAAAAAGTTTAGTTCTAAAAAATAAATAAATGGTCAAATGTACTAAACTTACTAATTGAGCCGTCTGACACATTTCATTGGTAATATCTCCCAGTTTACATATTGCGCCACAACAGAATCACTCTGATCAATCTTCTCCAATGTTTCTGTTTTCTACCTATTTTTGCAATGTTTGCACTAAATCACTTGTCTAATCTTTGAAGAAGTACTGAAAAAATATGATTTGTTTACATTTTCTTTTAGAATACTGGGCCCCTTTAACCCCTTAAGGATGCGTGATGGAAGCATTATAGGCATCCAAAGTGGTCTGGGTGCCTATAGTGCCCCTTTTAAAGGTTTCTCCAAATGAACTTCAGTGATTTGAAGTGGTCATGGAGTCTGTATGTGACGAACTGGGTCAGTCATGCGCTAAAATTAACCCCAGATTGTCACAATTGCGGGGTTAATGCTCCTCTGGTCTTCCTCGGTATTCACGCTGTCCCTGTAGCTGTGATCGCTCTGACAGGTTGTCAGAGCGAGCACATGTGCTGCGGGGACTTCTGATCCGCCTCCCTGCTCTTCCACGTTCAGTGCTGAAGTGCTCTAGGGGTTGAGAGTGTCTCTTTAAATATCTAGGAAACAAGCATTTGCACTTAAGATAGTATAGATTATTGTTCGCATAAGGCAATAGCAGATGGATAAGGCTTTGAAATGCACACATCTGACACTAACATATTTAAAGCTCTCATTAAACAATGAGTCAGTGATGGTAACGAGCTTGATAATGCACTGAATCATTATTTTATGCTATGCTTTGTTTTGACTTGCTATTATTAAACCTTTTAAAGAAAACCACATCTACTCTACAGCCTCACTTTCTTAAAGCATAAGCTCTTGATAAGAGCAGAAGCAGATATTGGCATATTAATATTTTAAGGTATACTATAAGTGCCAGGAATACAAAGCTGTATTCCCGGCACTATAGCTCCCTTTTGCCTCCCTCCACAGCGGTCAATAAAGGGTTAAAAAGCATTTATTTACTTATCTCACTGGTCTGCCTCTTCCTCCATCCCACGTTTAACATTGCAGCATCAAGGGCAATAAGGATACTGCACCCATATCACTTCAATGAGCTAAAGTGGTCTGGGTGCCTATAGTGCCCCTTTAAGGGTTTCTCCAAATGAGTCATTTGAAGTGGTCTGTATGTGCAACTTTTCTCTGTCAAATGCTGAACATTTGTGTAAGATCAACCCGTCAGCTGCCGGAGGTGTCACTACGCCTCCAGCAGCATCACTAAGTCATAATCATCCACCTAAAGTTCCAGGTTGACTGTCATTCTTGGAAGAAAGAGAGAGGGGCTATGGGGTGGGAAAACCACCACCACTACCCCACAAAAAGGTTACAGAGGCCTCCAGCAGCATCACTAAGTCATAATCATCCACCTAAAGTTCCAGGTTGACTGTCATTCTTATCCATATTTCTATGCACAGATTTGCAATCATTTCCTGAGAGCGGTTAGCTGAAGCTCTCAGCCAATGATCAGCAGGATCGACAACCAGAATCCAAATACACATCACAACCAGCCATATAGGAATTCTAGCACCCGACAGGACCAGGTAGAATGGCAAACCATTGCAATGATTTACGAATATATGGGATATGGTGCTAGGAGTACCTTGGCGCCATAACTACTTCAGTGGGCTGTAATGGCACCAGTTGTTATAATGCTTCTTTCATGTTTAACAAAAAATACCTTACCTCACGGTTATCTTGATGCATTCTGCTAAGACACTCTAATTGCAGGCATCACCCCATGCATCTCATTGGGAAGCACAAAAAGATTTATGGAGGCCAATAGGGAAAAGCACAAGAGCACAAAATGGGCATCCTCCATAGACCCTTGGAGGACCAGTGAAGGAATCCCATTCCATACTGACGTGCATGGACAAGAGTACATGTAGCAAACCTTGATTTAATGGAACACTCCAGACCCCTAAAGCACTTCAGCTTGTTAAAGTGATTTAGAGGTTAACAGAATGTCCTCTTCCTAATACTTTATAATACTGCCGATTTAATTTGGAATTTAGAGAAATGGATTCAATGCTTTTTCAAGTGAAAAGCTGAGGTGCTGGGAGGATTATAATTATATACACACACTCTGCATTATATACACACTCTGTGTGTATATAATGCTGAGTGTGGGGGGAGGGCATTTTTATATATTTTTTTTTTTATTTTAATATTCTCTTTTTTAATTTAAATATTTTTATTTTATTTATTTTTTTTTTATTTTTTTTTAGTTCTCCCCTGCTTGTTAACTCGTCAGGGAGGGGGGCTATCTTAATCCCTGGTGGTTTAGTGGGGGTAGGAGCCCCCGTGTAAATCTCGCGGTCTGCGTGCCGCGCGGAGCATTGTCACGATAACCCGTGGCAACGCTCTGACGGCTGAGGCTCTCGCGAGATTTACAGGGGAGCTGACCGGAACGGAGGAGAAGGGAGCTGATAGGAGCTTCAAGAAAGGTAAGTAAACGCTCCCTGCCAGCCCCCAACAGGACCGCCGGGCTTGTAATGAGCCCGGCGGTTCTGGTCTGTATTATGGTAATGTAGTTGCCATAATACAGACATTGACTCGAGTATAAGTCGAGTGGGGGTTTTTCAGCACAAAAAATGTGCTGAAAAACTCGACTTATACTCGAGTATATACGGTAAGTTTATCCTTTAACATGGGTGTTTTTTGTTTGTGTTTTTTTTTTTTTTGAGAAAAGATGCACTTGAGCCTAACCAAACACTGTAGAATAATAAATAAATGTATTTATAACACTGGAGTGTTCCTTTAAAGGCACCATAAGAATTTGTTTCCAGGGGTCTGATTAGCTGATGGAATTAAACTGTTAATTAATGGTTTAACCCAAAAGTCTTCAGGCCAGCACTTCACCACTCTGCTCTACACCTCTGCCCAATATCTAAGGTTTCAGTCAGAAAGCCTTAAAACAGATTGTGCTGATAACCTGAGATTAGTTTCTCCTCATTGAGAATATTTAGTGAAAAAGATATTCATGTTTTTCACTCTCTTTTCTCAATTAAGAGCTACTGAAAGGACAAGCAAGTCATCTCATGGTTACAGCATATCAGCAGCATTCTCCTCGGAAAGGGAGCAGTGCAGGGACAGAGCAATTGGGAGCCAGTTTGAAGACTTTAGGGTTAAACCAGTGATTCCCAAACCTGTCCTCAAGATACTTAGTTTTCTAAAGACACTTTGTACACAACTGGGTAATCCCTATATCCTGGACTGCTAGGGGTGCCTTGAGGACTGTTTTAGGAGCCACTGGGTTAAACCATTTGTTAACGATTTAACACCTTCAGGTAAGTTAGCGCTCAGGGTCTCCTCACACTATAACAACTTAATTGCAAAGTTGTTGTGGTGCTTGGAGTGTCAATTTTAAGCTCCTTAACCCCCTTAGAGATCGCTGACGTATCTGTACGTCCGACAAAAAAAACGGTCCTTAAGGACTGCGGACGTACCTGATACTTCCTGGGGTAAATAGAGCTCTAATGGTATTACAGGAATGCCTCAATGTTGAGGCATCGCTGTAATACCCCCCCTCACTGCCGGGGCCACCGGGTGATCGCTCCCCCTGGAGCATTGGGGCGAGGCACTCATAATTTTTTTTTTTTTTTTTATTATTATTATTATTATCCCTCTACTCTCCCTCCCCATGCACTTGACGATCGCTGCTGTTCCCCCGCCGGCGATCGGTCTTCTTCTCTTTTGGGGAATCTCTGAACTGAGCACAGATAGTCCCTCCCCCAAGGGCCATGTGACCACTCAGTTCTGCCTGTACTGACAGGCAGTCCCCTTGCTGGTGGAAAAACTTAAAATAAAGTTGAAAAACATTAAAAATAAATAGTGTGTGTGTGTGTATATGTATATGTGTGTGTGTGTGTGTGTGTGTGTGTATATATATATATATATATATATATATATATATATATATATATATATATATATATATATATATTTCTAATATATTATACATATATAGGATTTTATGTACGTGTGTGCATATGTATGTGTGTATTTATAAAAAAAAGTGTGTGTGTGTGTGTGTGTGTATATATATATATATATATATATATATATATATATATATATATATATATATATATATATACATACAGCGCTAGAGGCGCTTGCATGCTTCTCACTGTGAAAATCACTGGCGCGCAGCTCCTGCCGCGAATGCGCATTCAGCCGAAGGAGGAGAGCCCCCCCGTCCGGCGCTGAAAAAAGAGGTAAGTTTAACCCCTTCCTCTCCATCCAGCCTGGCGGGAGGGGGATCCTGAGGGTGGGGGCACCCTCAGGGCACTATAGTGCCAGGAAAACGAGTATGTTTTCCTGGCACTATAGTGGTCCTTTAATTTTGAAAAAAAAAATGGTTTGGAAATGGCTTCTTGTATTTATAGCCCTATAACTTTCCAAAAAAATGCTAAGAACATGTTAACATTTGGTATTTCTAAACTCAGGACAAAATTTAGAAACTATTTAGCATTGGTGTTTTTTGGCGGTTGTAGATGCGTATCAGATTTTGGGTGTCAAACTCCAAAAATATATATATATATGTGTGTGTGTTTTTTCTTTTTTTTGTTTTGTTTTTTTAATCATATTTTATCATTTTTTTTTATTTTTTTTATTTTTTTTTAATAGTAAATTTAGAAAGACCAACGGTAAGAAAATTGAAAAACGGTCTGGTAACTAAGGGGTTAAGTACACTTGGATCTGGACCAAGAATACCATTTGTTCCATAAAGCATGTGAATGACAGCTACATATAGTTATACATATAATCTCTACAATTTAATGGTGAATGTGACATGCATGTATCTCTCTGTGGCCATGACAAAGATGGCCACTCGAAATGTATACTAGTATTTGCTTATGTATTCCGTGTGGTGTGGAGGAACTTCGTACTAGTATACCAATGGGATACAAATGTAAAAAAGTACTTTCTCCCTTGTCAGCCAATCATCATTTTTAGATTAAGAGATACTATGAAAGCTCTCCAATATTCTGATTTCTCATTGTCTTTTTTTGTCCTGCTTGCACTGTATGTCGCACCTCTCTCTCTTTTGTTTCTGTGTTTCTTCACTCCATTTTTATGATTGAACTGTCTCTTTTCACTGTGACTCCGGTGCACTAGTGTGTTCCTTTTCATGCCGTCTAGTTTTGTGCTTTGCTATTTCTGTATAGATTTAGGGGACATGATTTTGGCCTTTAATTCGATAGTAGGAAAAAAAAATGTTTGATCATGTAATTGACTTTTATGTTTTTTTTTTTTGTTTTTTTTTTCATAGGATGACTTGGTCTGCTTTAGAGACATAAGGCCTGGAGCACCACATCATTATCTGGTAGTGCCCAAAACGCATGTGGGAAACTGCAAGACTCTTTCAAAAGATCACGTACAATTATGTAAGACAATGTCTAATGTGTTGAATTTACATAAAAACAAATTATGTATAATGTAATGGAGTTTATTCATTCTATGTATTTTAGAAAATGAAAAGGGATTTACAAATGTGAGTGTAAAATTAAAGTATTTGAAAACATCCTGATTTAGAGAATAACCCTCAGTCTATTTATCTAGCATCTTATTTATACATATTGAGCATGCTATGAAAAGTTAAGATCTGTCTGTTAATGTTTCACAACAAGCATGAGGTATTCTGTAGATCAGGGGTTCCCAATTAAAAAAAATAGTAAATTGCGTCCAAGGTGTGTATATCTGTGCTTGTGTGTTTATGTATACACCTTGACACACAGTGTGTATCTGTGTTTGTATGTGCCAGTGTGAATGAATCTGATACAGACACTGGCAGATAGTGGCACACAGATACACACAGTGTGTATCTGTGTTTGTGTGTGTGTGTGTGTGTGTGTGTGTGTATCTGACACACACGCACACATCTTGACTCACGAATACACACACACGCTGGTACACATAATGACATATACACACACATGCACCTACAGATTCACAATGCCATACACACACTCACGCACACACACTAAGATACACACAGTGACACATACACACAAACATTTACACACAGATACATACTCTTTGACAGACTCCCATACAAACATATATACACTCTCACTGACAAGAACACATACTCACTGACAAGACCACATTCACTCCAGGATTCTACAATGCCAGGAAAATGGGTTTGTTTTCCTGGCACTAGAGAATCCCTTTAACCCCTTAAGGACCAAACTTCTGGAATAAAAGGGAATCTTGACATGTCACACATGTCATGTGTCCTTAAGGGGTTAAACCACCTTAAACTTTGTTTTGTGTGTGTCTTTTTTTTTTTTTTCTTCAGCATTTAAAATTTGGATTCCCATCTAACAAGCATTCTGGGAATCTTAAGTACTTGCATCATTGCAAGGTGCAGGATACATGAAATGAGAAATTTGTAAAAGGGTGTGTTTGGTTTTTTTTTGACAGGTAGGGAAAAACTCCTTAATGCGGCACTGTCATGCCGAACTTGCCTTTCTTTAATCGATTCCTCTTTTCTCCCTCTGTAAGGATCGGTTCTTCATTTCTTCCTGTCTGCTCTAGTTATCTTTAAAACAAAAAGACAAAGGGACTACTTTGTCTCATGGAGGTTTCCTACGCTTGACCAGAGGAGGAGCAAAGTGTGCTTCATTTTGGTGGTCAGAGCAATTTTCCCACAATTCTCCCCTTTCCTCTGTGTTCCCGCAAAGCCTCCTTTCACTTTTCCCGAACGTCCTGTCACTTAAACAGAACACCAGCGAAACTACCGAATTTCGTCCCAACAGAATGAGAACAGTGTCTTCATTCGTGTTAGGACGCAATTCGGGACTTTGTTTGGACCGGAATTACAACGAATGAATGAAACTCTGATCCTATTCGTGCTTGCATCTTGCAGCCGCTTAGTAGATAGCTCCCCAATACCATGGTAATTAGGGAGTTATCTACCAAAAAGACCTAAATTGGTCAGCTCACTGTTTAAAAAAATTGTCCTCGCCCTTACTTAGCTTCACAATAAGGGGGAAACACACCTATTGTCCTCCCCCCTGGGCCCTACCCCTGAGCGGCTGGTGGGGACCCCTAAATAACAATAGGGGGACACACGTATTGCCCCCACCCCTAAGCAGCGGGTTAGGGCCCTCCAATGAAAATGTGGAGGTGAGACCTATTGTCCTCCCCCTGGCCCCCACCACTGAGCGGCGGGTGGGGACCCTAAATAACAATAGGGCTGGCCTATTGTCGTCGTCCCCCCCCAGGTGACTAGGGGTCTGAAGCCCCTAGAGAAATGCAGAGACAGGTAAGCACGCTGGTTGGCTTGAACTCCAACCAATCAGAGTGCTCTGTGTCATTTTACACAGCGTGGGAAAGTTCTTTGGAATCTTCCCATGCTGTGTAATTTGACTCATAACAACACTGTCTGGTTCCTTTAACACGGAGGAAAGGTGAGAATTGCGAGAAAATAGCTTTGATCAACAGAAATGAAGCACACTTTGTTCCTCCAGTGGTCAAGCTTAGGAAACCTCCATAAGACAAAGTAGTCCCTACTTTGTCTTTTTGTTTTTAAAGATAACTAGAGCAGACAGGAAGAAATGAAGAACCGATCCTTACAGAGGGAGAAAAGAGGAATCGATTAAAGAAAGGTAAGTTCGGCATACCGCTTTAAGTTATGTGACATTTATATATTTACCCCCCTTGACAATAATGTTAAAAATGCCTTTCCCTATTGAATTTTATGGGAACCATTCCAGTAAAATATTATGATTATTTATATAAAGTGATGAAATCCAATTATTGCATTTACCCTGCCAGCAGGTCCAATTGATTTCTTTAGGTAATGTCAGCAAGAAGATAAATGTAATATCAGAGAGGCAGGTGAACGAGTAAAAGTGGAAGAGGGTGAAAAAACCCTGTAATGGAACGGCAAGCAGAACATGAATTGTCTATATTTCTGTAATGCCTTGTTCATCTAAAGATATAACCGCTCCCAACCAGATAAACACTTGAATGCAGTAGTCCAAATCCATTAAAAAATATTTTTTTTTAAAGCTTTATTTATGCTGCCTTTTTAAAACTGCAATACCCGGCTTTGCATCATGTTGTGAGAGCACATCCCTGGATATTAAAGTGGCACTGTCATGCCGAACTTACCTTTCCTCAATCTCTTCATCTTCTCCCCCTCTCTCAGGATCTGTTGTTCTTTTCTTCCTGTCTTCTTTAGTTTTCTTTAAAATCATTAGACAAATTAGGGACTCTTTGCCTTATGGAGGATTCCTCCGCTTGACCAGCTCTGACCAGCGGAGGAGCAAAGTGTGCTTCATTTCCGCTGGTCAGAGCAATTTTCCGATGATCCTTACCTTCCCTCTGTGTTCCCACAATGCTTCCTGTCACTTTACACTAAACTGCCGAATTGCGTTCTAACTGAATGAGAACAGTATGTTCGTTTCTTTTAGAACGCAATTCGGCATTTTATTCGGATCGGAATTTCATTCTAATGAATGAAACTTCGACCCTATTCATTGCCGCGGCTGCATCTTGCAGCCGCTTAGTAGATAACTCCCTAATTCCCACGGTATCAGGGAGCTATCTACTGAAAACAGAAATAATAGGTCGCGCTACAACAAATGAATATAATATATTAGCATACACTAAGAAACGTAGAGAAAAAGAATGTATAATTAATAGTCCAAATACTTGGTGTACTTTTGATAAATTCCAATGGATAGATGAAGATCTCAGTACTTTATGTCCGTCTCTTACTGTATTCGGCAAAGGGGTAATGTATTCAATGAGAAACAAGATCTTCTAATGTGAGCGTAGTCTTGACTCGATGGTAACCATGAAAAATAAACAGGGAAAATCCAATAGTGTATATTGTCTGTAGATAATTGAGAGTATGAAGAATAATAGGGAGGTAATACACTCACCTATTTCTGAGCATAAACTCGCTCTAGTATATTAGGCATTCAGTGGCGTTTGTCCCCCACTGGTAGGATATAGGTGAAGATGATTCCTCCGTATAAGAAAAGAAATAAAAACAATATAGTGCTCACTGGATATAAATAAAAATAAATAAAATGAGAGAATAAAAATACTCACATTCAGATGAGCAGAATAGACTGCTCAGTATAATCGCACGAGTGGTACAATCCCCACCCAGGATTCTTGGCTGTATGTAGACTCCAAGGTAAAAAATAACCGGGTACCAGGAAATTAATAAAATGAAATAAAAAAAGGTATATGGCAAAATTATAATAAAAGAGCCAATATTCCTTTATTAATACAGTATAAAATATAAATAATAGCCAAAACGCGTTTCGCCACACAGGGCTTTATCAACTGGCAATAGTAAAAAACTAGTGGCTGACATAAAGTACTGAGATCTTCATCTATCCATTGGAATTTATCAAAAGTACACCAAGTATTTGTACTATTAATTATACATTCTTTTTCTCTATGTTTCTTAGTGTATGCTAATATATTATATTAATTTGTTGTAGCGCGACCTATTATTTCTGTTTTTGCCATTTCTCTTTTGAGGATTTTAGAGGGAACCTCATACCTATAGGTTGCAGCTATCTACTTGTTTCTAGCCCCTTACTATAGCACACAGCGCTGATCCATTTTCCATTTGTAGCTATCTACTAAAAGGCTGAAAGACCTAAATTGGTCTTTCAGCCAAATCCACTAATACTAAGTAAAGATTACTTAGTATTAGTAAATTAAATGCTATACCGCGAGTAGGGGCATGTGTAGTGAGCAGCTTATAGCATGCCCGTGGGAGCAGTGAGCATGCCCGTGGGGGCCCTAAATAAAGATGGGGGGGACCTACTGTCCCCCCCCCCCGGCCCCCACCCCTGAGCGGTGGGTGGGGGCCCTAAAGATATGGGGGGGAACTTCTGTCCCCCCCCAGCCCCCACCCCTGAGCGGTGGGTGGGGGCCCTAAATGAAACACCCCCCCACCCAAAAAAAACCTATCCCCTACCTACCCCCCTCACCCTAAAAGTAGTGAGGGGGGGAATAAAATAACTAACCTGTAAAAAAAATAAATAAATAAATAAATAAAAAAAATTAAACTTACCATTTGACGTCTTCTTTTTTCTAAAATCTTCTTTCTTCAGCCCCCAAAAAGGCCAAATAAAAATCCATTATACCCGTCGCACTTTAAAAAAAAAAAAAACGAGCGCAAAAAAAATTTAATCCAAGTTCGCCCTTCGAGGGCACGCCGCAGACTGAGCTCCGCAGGGCGGGTCAAGGCTTATAAAGCCTTGCCCCGCCCTGCAATTAGGCTTAGAACACTCTGGTGGGTTTAAGCCAATCAGAGTGCTCTGAGTCATTTTACACAGCGTGGGAAAATTCAAAAGAACTTTCCCACGCTGTGTAAAATGACACAGAGCACTCTGGGTGGCTTTCAAGCTTTTTGTTTTATTAGGGCCCCCACCCACCCACCGCGCAGGGGTGGGGGCCAGGGGGGGGGAGGACAGTAGGTCCCCCCCCTTATTGTTTTATTAGGGGCCCCACCCACCGCTCAGGGGTGGGGGCCGGGGGGGAGGACAGTAGGTCCCCCCCCTTATTGTTTTATTAGGGCCCCCACCCACCGCGCGGGGGGGGAGGGGGGAGGACAGAAGTCCCCTCCCCCCCCCCATATCTTTATTTAGGGCCCCCACCCACCGCTCAGGGTTGGGGGCTGGGGGGGGGAGGACAGTAGGTCCCCCCCTTTATTGTTTTATTAGGGCCCCCACCCACCCGCCCCCATATCTTATTTAGGGCCCCACCCACGCTCAGGGTTGGGGGCCAGTAGGTCCCATTGGGGCCCCCACCCACCGCGCAGGGGTGGGGGCCAGGGGTAGGCCCCCTTGGTTTATAAGGGCCCCCACAGGGGGGGAGGACAGTAGGTCCCCCCCTCATTATCTTCATGGCCCCCACCCGCCACTCAGGGTGGGGGAGGGGGGGAGGACAATAGGTCCGTGTAATTTGTCATTTTTTTTTTTTCAACAGTGAGCAGCCACAGGCTGCTCACTGTTTGTAGAATGCCCCTACTGCGGTATAGCAGTAGGGGCATTTGGGAGATTTTAATCTCCCTTGTGCTATTATGGGGGTCATATTGACCCCCATAGAGTGAGAGGGACCTGGGGGCTTATGAAGTGGTGGGGAGCACTGCTCCCTGCCGCTTCTATCTTTACATATTACAAGGAGGGAGCTGCGTGCCGTAGCTCCCTCCTTGTAACAAACTAACACTGATACACAGATACACTGATACATAGTGTTTGTTTGTTCGGCTGATATTTCTATTCATCATTCGTCTGTCTGATGAATGAATGAATAGATGAAATTCCCGTTCGCATGTCCAGGTGTTTCACTGGGCATGTGCGGGAATCTCACAGTCTGTCTAGTGTGGGCTGATGACGTGTCCCACAGGGACTTCATCTACCCACACAAAGATGGCGGCGCCCTGAATCAAGATCGGGGCAGAAAATCAGGATTAAAAAATAGGTAATGTGGGGGGCTTAGGGGCATTTGGGGGTGACTAGTGGGTCAATTGGATGTAGTGGAGGGGGGGGGGGTTAAAAAAAAAAAAAAACGGGATTCGGCATGACAGTGCCGCTTTAACACTCTGATTTTGCAGCCCAAGTGGGGCCCCACTATTTTAAGAATGGTCTTATTGTGTTTTGCATATTTTGCCGTTAATGATTTTGCCTTTCCTGTGGTATTTATTTTATTTATTTTTCTGTCAGTAAAGAATATGGTGTCTGTTGGAAAGAGTGTCCTGCAGAAAAACAATGTATCTGATTTGGAAGATATTCGGTAATGGCTTAAAATAAGCTCATTTTCTTTGTAATTTTTTTAAAATGTATAATGTAGTGTTGCATAGAATTTTCACAGTTGATGTTCCTGTAGCTTGAAGGGACACTCTATGAATGATGTATTTATTTTTTTTTACACAGTATCACACTTAGTTAACCTCCACCACTGTCTGTGGTCCAACCTCTTATGTCACTAAAGCAGGAATTCCCTCTTGCACAATATTGACAACAGTTCCACTTGATTTGGGATGGTATTTATTGGCGGAGAGCATCAGCTGATTCTTTCAGCCAATAAGTCCTGTCCAAATAGGGGCAAAATTGATCTAATACGGATGGGATCTTACACATTTAGCAGTATCTGAAGAGGGGGCCAGACTGTAGGCTTCCCTGGTTTCTGCTAGAAATCAAACCATTCAAAACTATATGGACACTTGATGTGTGCACAGCATTCCGGTTTTTCTAAATTATTTGGGTTTAAGTATTTTAGTAGTACATTTTTTTTGATTCGATATTACAGGTCATTTTGAAAAATTTCCGATTGATACAAAAATTACCAGAGAGAATAAAATGCCTGTAGTGCCCCTTTTAACAAAAAAAAAAAACTATTCTCAAACTTTAAATTTGTGATGCAAAGTTGGTGCCAAGTGGCTACTAGAATTGTGCACTACAAAATTATTAGAGATTTTTTTTTTTTAATTCATACAGATTTTTAAAATTTGCAATACCTCGATTTGATATTCAAAAAGACACTAATTTGGTCGAAATTCTGCAGAATTTCAGTTCAGGCAGAACTGAATCTCCAAATGTAATGACTATGTACCATCTCCTGACACAGTAGCCACTATTTATTCAAACTTGTGGTTTTTTTTTGTTTGTTTTTTTATTAAAGAATAAAAGTGTTGGTTACAAGAAATTGTAAATGAACAGTAATTTTTGCTAGATGGTACATTTTAAAATGTTAGTGGGCTTTACATTATTAAGTGGCAAGTGTTCATTGCAGACAAGATGGAACCTTCTCTGTAAATTGAAGTTTAAGAGTTTTACACATTATGTCCTTTGGGTACCAGGGAGGTAGATTCAAATAGTAGTAGCTGTAAACATATATTTAGCGGCTTAATACTTGCAGTTATAAACCTAATCACAAATGTTAATTTACCATTTCAACATAGGTTGGGATTCCACTGGCCTCCTTTCTGCTCAATAGCCCACTTGCATCTTCATGTACTGGCACCAGCCAGCCAACTAGGATTTCTCTCTCGTATGATATATAGAATCAATTCCTACTGGTTTATTACAGTAAGTACCAATGTATAAATTGCCTTCAATTGTGATCATTTCTTCCATGTAGGCAACATTCTAATTTCTGTGAAATACTGTATTTTTTAACTATTGTGTACTTGCCTTTTCTGTGTGGCAGAATTATTGCATTGTTGTAAGTAATCAGAAAAAAAGACTGCAGTTTAAAAAGTACGATTATTCAATTAAAGGGACACTATAGTCACCAGAACAATAACCGCTTATTGTATTTGTTTGTTTTAGTGAGTGTAATCAGTCCCTTCAGGATATTTGCAGTTTACACTTTTTTATTATTTATTTATTTTCTGAGAAAAGGCAGTATTTACATTACAGTCTAGGGATACCTCCACTGGCCACTCCTCAGAAGGCCACTAGAGGTGCTTCCAGTGGCAGTGCTACACCCTCTGCATGGAGACACTGAACCTTTCTTATAGAGATGCATTGATTCAATGCATCACTCTAAGGAGAAGCTGATTGGCCAGGGCTGTGTTTGGTTTGCGCTGGCTCTGCCCCTGATCTGCCTCCTTGACAAGCTCAGCCAATCCAATGCTTTCCTATGGGAAAGTATTGTGATTGGCTCAGATCACCACTTCTGATGATGTCAACCAAGCAGGCTGATCCAGCAGCAGCAGACTACTTGAATAAAGGTAAAATGTATCTATATTTAGGATCGCCAGGGAGGTTAAATTGTGTTGTTGTTGGTTTTTTTGTTTTTTAGCACTATAGGGTCTGGAATACATGTTTGTGTTCCTGACCCTATAGTGTTCCTTTAAACTGAGAAAAATTAATTACAGAGTTTATCCAGCCAGGAATCTGCTGTTTGAAAAGATGGCAACTGAAGCCTGACCACTAATAATAGCAACGGCTTAACTGGCTTCAGGAGAGATTTGATTTAAATTCAGTCAATTTAAATCACTAGCCAATAAGATTAAATCAAGACTTTTAAACATTTAGACTCATTCTTGCTGTTTTGCAACCAGATGAAGATTTCATTTTAAGACTAATAACTTTTCATATACATTTTAATGGTTAATTTTGTTATGTACCATTAGAACTACATAGATGATGACATTGCAAGCTGAACTATTTTCTGTTTAATAGGGACTCCTATTTGGAGAAAAACTTAAATTAAATGTGTTTATTGTGTGTACACTGATTTACAGAATAAAAATTGGATTAGAGACCCATTTCTAATGTCTCCTTGCAAAATTGGGTCACAATGAGGATCCAGGTGTTGGAAGGTATCAATAGGGCTGCATTGTTGCTACCCTTTCTAGACCAATGTCTGCAATACCAATTGCCTCGGACAAATTGTTTTCAAATTAATTTCTTGCAAACGCATTCTGACTCTCTGAGTTGGACTCAAATTCCGAACATACTACTCTTAACAGTTAGGCACATTAATGCTAAGCAATGTATTGTGGAATGGTATTCCATTCTAGGAGAATTCCCCACCCTCTCAAAAAAAATTATAATTTCCATATCAGAAAATATGTCAAACCTATTTCTGAAGAAGAGTGGACCTGTTTGCATGAGAACTCCGCACTCATAATGTTTCCCACCTAGAGATGTTGTACAAGTTATTCTGCAATAGCACCTAGTGCCAGCTCAATAAGCACAGATTCAGCAATTCCAATTAGCTCTAAGCTTGTGTCTGATGAGCAAATTACATAGGTTTTCTTTGTAATGGCAAAAACATTTTTGAGACCTGAGTGTGGTCTCAAATCAGATCAAATGGATGTTAAGACTGAAAAATGTCAGTAGCAGCTAGTGCGGCCAGTAGACCTTCAATGGCCTTAACCTCTCTGGCTAAGGCCTTTATGAAGTGGCTGGACCTTCTTGAAGAAGATATTGAGAAATTACTTCACAGATCTTTTTTGATGGCATCACTTTCTGAGCGTACGCTGGAGCCATTTCCCAGTAATGGGGCAAACTCAAGACTTGGGTCTCGGGCAGGCGCTGAGGTTTCTCTGTTGCCGGTGACATGTATCTGGTGTCTGCAGGGTTGCAGAAGCTTAATGTTGATTCTGCCAGACATCATTGCCTGAGTGCATCAGATTACTGCTCTCAGTCGGTGAATGCAACTCTGTAAATAGAAATATGCACATAAGTTTCATGCTGGCTAATAAGATCCCAATGATGCAGAGCAAATACAGATTACAGGCACCATGACCACTTCAAATCAGTGATGTAACCGTAGTGCTTTGAGTAATCCTTTAAGGTCTATTTCTGAACTGTATATGTTAGTTATAACTGTTTTGCTGTGAAAGTGTATGTTCAATTAAAATTGAGTTTACATGTTAATGTAACTATTGCATGAATATACAGCAGCATGCTACATAACTAACCCCCTTTATTTATTTATTTATTTTTATATCCATCCTGATTGTGATCCACCACTAAAGGTGTGGATTTGACCAAATGTAAACATTGTAATTTCTCATTCTGATAAAGTGATTTTGGGGCTTAGTGTCCTTTTTTTGTTAAATATTTCCTTCCTCTTCTAAAATGTTCTGTAATATTAATCCCCTATTACCGCCCATATACTTGCACAGTTACTAGAGAAATAACTGCAGCTATGATACATGCTGTTGACTGACAGGTGAGGGGGCTGACCATATATCTTTACACGGATTTATTGTAAAATCTATGCATTTTATAACACAATATACAGCGAATATTTAACACTCAAATTTAAAGGGCCACTACAGTCAATGGTAAATGAATGAGGAGCATAAATAAATAAACCACCTTTATTCAGTAATGTAAAGCTGTACAAACACATGCATAGATTAAAAATAAATCCAAACTCTGTCAGACTACATATCTAACCTAATACTTAGGTCTGTACACACAAATAAAAATTTTTTTTAAAAATCCCACTACAATGATACTTGTAGTAATTACCAACACACAATGGAAAAATAACTAAACAGACAGAAAACCAAGACCAAAACTGATGAGCAGAAATCACCAATAATAGGTTATATGAAACGCACAAGGTCAAAAAATACATACCAGGAAATAAATGGGGAAAAAGTGTTTCAATGTGAGAGAAGGGGAATATCAAAACTCAGTCCCAATGATTCGGCTGAAGCCCTTTATCAAGGGAGCGCTTAAATCACCCATATTACTTAATCTCATTAAACTAGTCCTGTCATTTGTAACCCTAGTGCGACACTTACATTGCAGAGTTAATAAATATATATATATATATATATCTCTATCTCAATATACATAATGCAGTATTACATTTGAATAACATTTTAAAAAATAGAACTTTTTTTTTTTTTCATTTCTATACATCAAATGCAAGTAAAGAAAACAAACTCAAAATAGATTCACTAATTAGTCCTGATTGTTAAAATGCACAATATGTCTAGGTTTTCAATACATTTTTAATAAGTCATAAAACAAATACTGCAAGGAGTGAATTATGGTTTTAAAACTGAAACTTTGACATTTGGCATATGAGATTGCAACTTTCATACAAAATCCAAAACTGCTACACAAAAGTACATCCCCCAGGCTATGTAATGAAGAGCACTTTGAGTTTGTGATAAAATGGTTAAATTAAAAGTGTAAAATTTAGGGGGGTGGGTGTGTGTACTTTTCCCTGTCACATGTCTTTATTTTGGGGACAATGCATGTCGCACTACTGCAAAAACACCATATTTGTATTCTGCTACTTGGGTACAATGATAACCTTTATCCCTAATCCTACCTATAATCAGAGAAAAGACTGTTTGTTTATATTGCTGCCTAGTAACTCTAGTAGCAGTCATTTAGATGCCACTAGAGGTGCTTCCGCTCTGCATAGAGACACTGGCCATTCCCTGTAGCGATGCATTGATTCAATGCATGTCTGAGGAGATTCATACTGACACAGCGCTGTGTTTTGCTGTCCATGTGTAATAGCCTCGCAATGCTTTTCTGTGGGAAAGTATTGGATAGATCTCTACCATGGAGGCAGAACCAGCCGTGTCGAGACCGGCGCGTGGTGGGAGAAACGGTGAGATATCTCCTCATTACTGCACAGAGAGGGGGCTGGTTACCTAAACAGTCACTTCTGCACTATAATGCCAATAATAAGTTTGCATTCCTGGCACTATAGTGTTCCTTTTAAGTGATTAATCATTAAACTTTTGTTTTCAAAAAAGTTACAAAAGTTCATAAATGATTTTAACAAGTTACCCATTTCAACATTAATATGGCTTTGCAACTGAAAGTCTAATTGTGTTTCTATTTGTTTCTGCAGGCAGATCAGCTCATTGAACGTCTTCAAGCAAACACATCTACAAGCTGAAATGTGTCATGTTAGCTGTTATGATCAAGTCTCTATCCTGTGGGGGGAAAAAACAGATCATGTTCGTTTTTAACAGAGCAAGCTCCTGATATGTTATGAATGCATTGTATTTATTGTTTGATTGAAACCCAGGTTTTAGGCTGTAACCAGGAACTGCATTTTATGATGCTGCTTTTCAGAACAAATGCAGTGTACAGTGGCCATGAGGGTGCACTAAATACACAGATTAGCTCTAAACCTATAATAAATGGCCAAACACAATTCTACTGGAAATTCCACACATGACAAGATATATAACTACTTCTCTTGCATGTTTTTTCTCCATCCTGTCCTTTTATCCATAGATGCTAACGATAGAGCTTTCTTGGAAGTTTCAGAAGACACATACTTTAGCCAAATGTTAATGCTAAAGAAATGTTGTGGGTCTTTGTTTTAACTGTGAATTCAACACTAATTTTATGAAATAACTTCCATGATGTATTAATGATAACTATGTCTGTTTTTCTTTTTGAAGATTATATAATTTATTTTAGAAAACAAATTTAGCACCAACTAGATATGTGGTTATTCATTAAAATGTGACCTTTGGGGAATTGACATTTTTAGTACGGATTATCCAAAATAAAAAAAGTTGGACAGTCTTTTAAGTTGAGCTCTTTTAGAATTATGGTTGAAATTCACTTTACTATTGTCACTTAGCAGTTTACTGGAAATGTGCAGTTTTTATTATGAATAACCAAGTATAGTGACAATGTTTCCACCACACATTGTGACCTTTATAAAGTCATGCATCCAAGGTGTACAGTGCTTTTATATAACCAAAGATCATAAATTACTTATTGGTTTGTCATGGAGCACACCTGTGCCATGGGAAGACGGGTCCCTCGATTTTTATTGCTAGAGAGGTCCTGTTCACGTGGGCATAAGACTATTCTGATGAGTTCTAAATAGATTTGCTGTCTCTGCTCAGTGTCTCCATGGTGACATGACATCACACTTAACTCAAGCAATTGGGAAAACATCAAGTGATCAGGACATTCTACTGCAAATTGTCAATATGTCTTTGGGGCGTAAGGATTGGACAATAATAGGCAGAGACGGCTCTCTAATTAGGCGATTTAGGCGGCTGCCTAAGGCCCCGTGCAAACTCGGGCCTCACGGCCATCTAAATCGCCTTATGGCAGCCTGACACAGGAGGTGGCCCGGTGGTTTTCCCATTATCTCACCAGGTCACCAGTCTGCTCTGGGAGGAAAGCAGCCTCCTGTCTGCAGCTCCTTCGGGTGCAGAGCTGCAGACTGAGGTGTCTTGCGATATGCAGCAAATCAGAGCATTGCCGCAGGTTACCACCAAACGCTCTGATACTTCTGGTGTTTGCAAGATACGTACACGTGGTCTGCAGCTCTGCACCCGACTAGATAGGAATCCACAGGACCACCAGGGGAATGAATCCGGGATAAAAAGTATGTTTGACTACCCACCATATACACACAATACAACCCCTATTTATTTTCACTTTGGTTGTTAGTGGGGGCCTCATGTTTGAGTTACACCTAAGGCCTCACAAAGTCTAGAGCTGCCACTGATAATAGGGCAGCTTCTTGCTCCAGGGACATAACAGACCATTTGCAACTTTGGGACAGGTAAACAACCCCTTGTACATCCACCTCATAAACTTGATAATTGCGGATTATTCTAGTCTTGGTGAAGAAATAATCTAAAATGTAGGCAAATATTTGCATTCACCTTAATTATTGACACTTCCATCAGCAAATAAACAGTTAAAAAAAAAAAAACAGAAAAAAGGTAAGGCAAATCAACTGAACACACCCACTTGCTCTTTTTAGATGAGGTTGAGCAGGAGACTAGAAAACAGCCAAGCATTAACTAAGGAGTCAAAACTTTGCAACAGGAATAGCAAGAAATATATATGGTTGTCACAACAACACAAAACCGTCATAAACCATCTATTTATTTTTTTTGTCATCCATGGGAAGATCTCATCCAGGAACTTAAGACATTGCATGGCTTGATAGTGCAAAGGACCCAGGAAAATGGACTCGATAGAGGCAGACAGGAGACCTATTGCCAGATTTCATAGTCACACAAGGCTGCCATAGCAGCCACTTTATCTCCTTCCTCATAGCCTTGACCTTGGAGGGCAGGAGCTTCAGTACCACAGCCACAGAGTCAGTGAAACCGAGTAACTGTATTGTTCGGGACAGAGTCAATTCCGGCTTTTTCTCGTTTATGACTAATACCATATATTAGGTGGTTCATCATTAGAGTATCACTCTGAAGTGTGTCCGGATCCTGACCCATAAAAGAGGATGTCGTTCAGGTACACTATGGACCAAACCCCTTGCACTCTGAGAAACAACAAAGGGCAGAAGGGAGCAATGGAATTGTAAAAAACTATATTTGATGTGGACCAGAACAGTGAGATAAGCCTCCTTCAGATTCAGACACACAAAGTCTCCCTCGCACAGGAGGTCCTGAAGCAGATGGATGCCTTCCATCTTAAAGTGCCTGTAGAGAGCATATGCTTTGAGTTTGTGCAGATATATCACAGGCCAGAAGTTGCCAGTCTTCTTCCAAACTAAAAATGTATTGCTTAGGAAGCAAGGAAGGTCAACCAGTCTATCACTCCTTTCGACTGAAGACTGGACAATTCCATCCAAACCACGCACGTTGCTTTTTTTTAATCCATCTGAAGTGGGCACCAAGACACTCTCTACAATGGAGTGGACACAAAGTTGATAAAGAAACCCAACACCGTCTGGAGGACCCAAGGATCCTGGGTGAGATATTCCAACTAGGAAAAAAGTGAGACAATCTGCCCACAATTGAACTATGTGGGAAAGTGTGAATGACACCTGAGGTAGGGTTGTCTCGGGTGAAGAATTCACCACAACCCATATCCACAGGGGAAGAATAGATAGTGCTGGTACCGGAAAGTGGAGTAGGAGTCAGACAAATGGGGTCTGGAGCTGGAGAAGGCCATTCCGTGGGCGCTGCCAACCAGCTCAGGAGGAAAAACTACCCCCTTCACGGAACACCCTCTGAATGAAGCCTTGATTTTATTCAGAGACGTATATTTGAAGATATGAGTGTTCAGCTCTTTTATGAACCTGTCTCCAAAAAGACCATGGTCAGCAAATTCCTTGGTCAGCAAATGCGCCAAAATTATTGTCCAGTTTGTATAAAGCCTCTTTGCGCCATTTCATAGACAGGACCATGTTAGCATTGCCCAGGAGGTAGAAGGCCCTTTAAACCCATTTCCAAAGGAGGTGGGTATCAACTGGAGTGCCTTCATTAAGTGCCTCATCCACCATTAGAAAAATCTGGGTCAGCGGTTCGCTGATGTCCAGCCACTTGTCCTGAGTGGAACAGAGACCCTGTTCCAAACACTTGTGAGAGTCCTTGCCCGACGACTATAAAGTTGACACAAAAACAAAATCGGTAAAACTCTGGGGTTTGGTACACTTTCTCGGGCAAAGTTCTGGTGGGGCATTCAGCATGCAGCTTGTTTCTGACTTCCTTGTCCAGAGAATGATGGAGCCAATAACGCAGGACCTCTGCAGTGTGCTCAAAAGGGTCCATTCAGAATAGCAAGAGTGACATATGGCCAGAAGGTCAAAGAAAGGGTGTGTCTCTGTATCCAAGATCTCCGATGGAAATGCCGAAGCTGACGCAAAACACACCCGGAGAAGTTGCTAACAGGGAGAAAGCCAAAATCCCAATTAGACAGGGGCCGCCCAGCAGATAAGTACAATGCGAGGGGATCACCCTCCATGCATAGACACCTCGATAGAGGTGTGATGGGAATGCACCAGAAGAGCCTAAACACACAGGGGAGTTAACCCAGTGGCAGGCCAGAAATAGAATGAGCCCAGCCGGTCAGAAGCCAGTTCATCAGCAGGAGTCATCCAGTGAGAGGGGGTCATTAAAGGACTGTGTGATGTGTAAAATGTATATAGCACCATAAAACCCATGTAAATACCAAAAGAAAGGCATGAGGACTAGGAATCTGAAGAGAGCAAGAAAATCTCCCTACACCCAGTGCCAGAGAACCAGGCTGAGGGTGAAAACCCAAGAGAGCCGGCAGCACAGCCATGTGAAATCCTGATTGCGAAGGCCTCTGCCTGGGAGATCCAAGGCGGCCACTGCTGCTACGGTGGAAAGACGTTGGCCTAATACTCTGTGGGCATGCACGACAAAATAACATGCCTGCTAGTGAGTCGTCGGGAGGATGAAGTCTCCATTGGAGTAAGCAAAAATATAAGGGAGGGCAATCTGAGTGCCAAAATGTGATCACGGAGTACAAGGCCCCAAATGAGTAAGCAAAGAGCAGGGCAACAGGATGGGATATGGTTCCCCAAAAACAACAAAATAATACAAAAAAAAGAACTCTGCATATCCATCTGTGGGGAACACAGTTTAGTGGACAGAGCCAAGAGCCAAGTTCGCAGTACCAAAGGATTAGATGCAGAGAGTAGTCGGGGAAGCCAAAGGTCAAGACAGGCAGCACAGGTTCAAAGCGATGATAAAGGCAAGGGTCAAAATCAGGAACAACATAGTCTGTTTAGGTCTTTACACAATCAGGAGCACAGTACAACTGAGCGAAGAGTGAAGGGTGTTTGCGACTTAAATAGGAAAAGTGGGTGGTCTTGTTAATTAAGGTTTCACCCTGGTCTCCAACTCCTGTACTTTTAAAAGGTTCAGTGTCGGCGCGTACGCGCCCTTTCATTCTCCTGAAGTTCTTCCTTCTGTGTGGTCGCACTTGAAAGCAGCAGTGTTCTCACAAGACTTTTGTTCTTGCTGTGTTCAGGAGCCGGCGTCCGTCAGAATAGCGTTCTCTCTGCAGTATAGGTAAGTAGCGTTCGCATGAACAGAGGTGGTGGACGCATGGAGTTCTTCATTCTATATCTGGTAAGTGGTGTTCGTGCAAACAGGTGCTGTTCACATGAACATGAGGGGTCGGTGTGGGTGATTGAACCGACCGCGTTGCCTGGGTGGTCGTGCTCTGACACGGTGTCCTCGTGGAGTGAGTGAGAGACGTGAATGTGGGAGTCAAGGATGTCCTGTACTTCAAATTCAGGTTCCCCAGCGACAATCACGGGAGCTGGAGGAGGGATGACCCGATCTGGGAACCTTTCCTTAAAAGGTTTGAGGAGTGATACATGGAAGGATGAATGGAAACGGTAATGAGGAGGCAAATCCAATTGAACTATGACAGGAGATTTGATGTTCTTAAGACAGAATGGACCGATGTATTTAGGCCTCAACTTCTTGGAAGGACAGGATAGATTTAGCTATCGGGTGGAAAACCAGACGAGTTGATCAACTTGGTATGAAGGAGATGTTCTTCTGTCATGGTCTGCATATGATTTATAGAGACATTGACTCTCTTGTGTCTTTTGAGCATGGAGAAATCCTTGTTTTAGTTGGTTAACGTAAGTGGAGGCATCTGGAACAGTAGAAGAAATAGACAGTCCTGGTAGGGATGTGGGTTGGAATCCGTAATTGAGCATGAAGGGAGAGGCATGTGTACAGTCGTGAATATGCTTATTATAGGCAAATTCCGCAGTAGTAAGGAGTTCTTTACAATCCATTTGCAGATGTGTTATGTAACACTGAAGAAATGTCTCCAAGGTTTGATTTGTTAGTTTAGTTTGCCCATTAGTATGTGGGGGTAAGGCAG